TTCAAGGTTATAACTACACGATTGCTGGCTAATCACTGGAAATGAGGATGACACTGATCTCCTACCGGGTGCCAGGAACCCGCTTCGGCTACTTTCCAGCTTGACATCGTACAGTTCCAAGTCATTTACCGAGGGGTCTATGGGGTAAGGAGAGGAACATAAGAACCTTAAATGTAGAAGTTATCAGAGATGGTGAAGCAACGAGAGAACAAACATCCTCGTGAGCTGTGAGCAAAGAGGCTTGATAAGCCACATGGTCGTTTCCTGTCTCTATTCGTTTCCACTTGATGCATAAATTTTGGCCACCAAGCCACAAATGAAATTGTCATACTTGAGACAGATAAGAGATTCACCTTACCAAAGCTGGTGGCCAAAGTGCATTTGAACAATGCCCAAGGTTTGCCTGTTAGGCCTGGAGACATACAAAGAGCGAGCATTGCTCTGAACACACCCTGAATGATGTTATTGCTGAGCCAAATAGATACTAATCTATTACAACTACTGCTTGGGATATTGGTGGTGATCAAGGGTTACAATCTCCACTAATGCTCCTCTGTAGTCAGCTCCCGACTGGAAGCCAGGGAATTACCCACGGAGCAAGAAGTAAATATCATAGGAACAATTTGCCTCCTTATAGCATTTCCTTGTTCCTTGCTGGAAAAGCGCTATATCCAGCTTGTTCCTTGCTGGAAAACAAGGAATAGTACTGCATACTACCTTGGAATTCCAAGTCCCAAACATTTGGAGCTTAAGATCTCCTGAGGGAGTCGTATGAAAAGAAAGAGCTGTACTGTACAAAAATGCCGTTGCCTTTTGCCTTTGGTTGTCTATGGAATTAGGGATTGAACGTGTGGGGAATGCCACTTTGTGACAAAGAGTTTTGGTTAGGCTGAAATCAATGTTCAATACTATATCTCTGGTGTAAGTAGCTAACGGTGTGACAGCCAGGAGCAATGGAGCAAGCCTGCTCCAGGATGCTTGCACCTCATCATGAGAAGCAGGGACATGACTTGCCTCAAACAGGGCAGAGTAGAGTGAGGTACACTCTGCGTCATTCATTGAAACATTGGCTCATGGATAATGCAATCGGGGTCACCCTGTGAGAGTAGACATAAGGAAGCTCTGTCGAAAGGCATCTGACCTAATGAGTCTCCTTTCTGCCTCTGAAAGCAACTTCTCTGTAACTGCTGAATATGGACGCGCTCAGCCGCTTAATCCTCAGCGAGTTGCCCAGTCATCTCCTCCTCCTCCCCCATCTGCTCCTGCACAAACAACATGAGGAGAACTCCACACAAGGCTTCCTGTCTGAGATTCCGGTGGAAGGTCGGGTTGCCAATCCTCGGTTTCCGGTTAATAACTCGGCCGCTGCCAAGTTTGGGTTTTCAGCGCTATCAGTGAGGTGCCAGGTGCCACTCAGGATACTGTGGTAAAACTGTGGAGAAAAGAGCCATCAGTTGGGGTTTTCTTGGATGTCAACTTTAAGACAAATTAGACTTCTGACATGCAACCATGACAGTTCAGATTGCATGAGCTTGGTTGTTGCATCACTCCTCATGGCTTTAGTCAACACGTTCCTATCATTTCAAGGGTACTGTATTGCTAGTTGTTCAGCATCATGGAATTAAGAAGTCACAGGACCAAATGCCCCATCCAACAAGGCAAAAGGGTTGATATTGTGGTCATAGCTACCGTAGGCTTCTTCAGGCCAATGCTGGAGCTCAGTTGGGCAATATCATGTATATACATATAAGCTGAGAAGTCCAAGTGGCCAAATGAGGTGGGCAAAGCTGAAGACCGCCAAGGAAGAGGAGAATAGGACAGAAGGTAGATAGGTTGAGAAGCAGTGGTTAGATTATGTCAAGCTTGTAGGAGGAAGGTGTAGAGTTCCTCAGATGATAGGATGATTTGGGGAAAGGTAAACGGGATGAATGTTAGTTTCTATACCTGAAGACATGGGTGGGGTGGGGGAGAGAAGGTGGGTACAATGCTGACAACATAAGATGCTGTTGTATCAGGATACATTTCCTCACATAGAGACTGGTGAAGATGTGCAACTCCCCAGAAATCTGCAGAGGATGTTTGAAAGAGAGATAGGCCCATGGGTAGTAGAGGTACGAAGGGATATAGCGAAAAAAAGTGTTTGGATTAAGAGATCTGGTCAGATCCTAGTAACTTAGTGGAACCGGCTTAGATGGCTGGATAGCCTCCTACTATTCCTGTTTATTTACTTTCCCCATCAGTGAGACATATTAAACTGATCGATTACATTGCGCTATTTGCCCAATGCTTTCGATCAAAGAAAACTGAAACCAGTCTACATTTTTTACCTTTAATGGCCATCTGAGTGACAAGATCTTCCTCCATCTGCCTGGCTGGGATTGTGATTCCACTTTCTTTGCCAAAGATCCTTTTCCTGTAGCGTTCTAACAGACTTCAAATGCAGGATTCGTGGCATTTTTATTGAGGAATCTTGGTGAAGAGCCAGGAGCTATTGTGTATAACAGCACTATAGCTGAAAAGAGTAGAAGAGAAGACAAAATGACAAATTGGAATCGGTGGCACCAAGCTTTGGGTTTGAAAGCTTCATGTGATGGGTCCAATATTAGAGGAGGAAGGCAAAGAAAAATAATAATCCAACCATGTTGAGGACTACATCTGCATCTGGAATACCTTTTATGTCTGGACTAACCAGACACTTTAAAAATTGACAGCTGATCTGTAAGGAGTACTTGTTCATCAGAACTGTTTTAACAATAGGAAATGATATGTAGTTAAAGTTATAGGGAAGAGGATCAGAGGAACTCAATCGGTCATTAAATTTAATTAATCTTGGTTGAAGCACACTTATAATGCTGTGCCAGAAGGTTCATTAACCTTACCAACCAGTGAGTTTCAATCCTTAGATCTCACAATGGATTAGTGCCATATGGTTTCATCTCCAAACCTACTCAGCCCAGTAGAGTGAATCCCTTTTCTGTTTGTTGGACTTAAAAGTCCTAAGTGGCAAAAGTCCACTATTGGATGTCAGCCTGCCTCAGTTCATAGCACTCTCGCCTCTGGATCAAAAGGTTCTGGTTTCAAGTCCTGTGCCAGGGACTTTAAGATCATAGTCTAGGCTCGTGGTGGCACCCTGTTTAGTTGGCCAACAAAATAAATGGTTCTTGATTAAATATTTCTTGATTTATGGCATAAATATATGCTATGTTATTATTTCTACGATTATTTTGTTGGCCAAACAAAAAAGGTTGGCCACCATTGGTCTTGGCTGACACGCCAGTGTAGTATTGGGGTGTGCTGCAATGTCAGAGCTATTGTCTTCCAGGTGATAAACTGGGGTCCCACCTGCCAGATCGGGTGGAGGTTAAACATCCCATGGTGCTATTTGAAAAGAAAAATGAGTTTCTCCAGGTGTCCTGGCCAACAATCTTCCAGATAAAACCGGTCACTCACCTCTTCGCTGAGTGTGGGATATTGCCTTGTGCAAAATGGCTGCTGTGTTTGCCTACAAATACAGTCCCTACACTTAACAGTAATTGCTGTGAAGCGTTTTGAGATATTTCAATGCGATAAAGCTCTGAATCAAATACAAGTATTACTATTATTTGCCACTGTTGATGTTTTGGCAAATCAGTGGTCCTCAGTGTGTACTGCAAGCGTTAGTGGGACTGTTTGTCTTTGTGTCCACTGGGTTGCGCTATAAGATGGTTCAGCATCCCAGTGAACACCAGAGGGGAAAGGGGAAGAAAGAATGAATCGTTTATCGTTAAAGCTACTTGAAACTCATTTCACTTAAACCTCACGTTCCGTAAAAGAGGAGAGGCTTTCACCCCATCAGCCAGCAATTAAATCAAACCCAGATGCAAGGATCTCGCCCACAAAATACATAGTCAATCCACTTTGCGGTATTTTCTGTGAAGCGTTTTGAGATTCTCAACGACGTGATAAGGTGCTATATCAAATGGATAAGGATTATTATTATTATGCCCAGATTCACAGAGGGCAGATTGGGAAGGTGTTTTTAAGATGCGTACACCTGAATCTGTGTGCCCACGTTCTATGTATCTGTACAACTATTTGTGTGTGTGTGTGCTCGTAGACCTGGACCGTGCTGAGTTTCACCTGGGGTAGTGGTAGGAGACACAAAATAATAATAACAATAATCCATAATAATCCTTGCTGATAAACCGATAAAAAAAAAGATGAAATCTTGCAATAATGATTGCGGATCGCTTTCTGGGGTAATAATTCCTTCAATAATTTGGTCACTGTTTGTGGAACACTGCTGAGCGCAATTAGCTGTCGCGTTTCACCCACAAATTTAGTCAATCACTCTGCGAAACGCTTTGAGACATCTCAACGATTTGATAAGGCCACATATCAACTCAAGGATTATGATTATTATTCGATACACCACCTTGTCAGGTTGTCGAAATGTTCCACAGCGCTTCACAAGACTTGTTGTAAAGTGTAATGACTGTGTGTTTTCTAGACAAACGTAGCAGCCAACTTGGGCACAGCAACATCCCACAAACAGCCGTCGAATCAGCAACCAATTTTATTTGGGGGATTGTTGGCTGGAACACTCGGACAAACTCCCTTCTCTTTTCAAATAGTGCCATGAGTTCTTTAACATCCACCTGAACAGGCAGACAGGACCTCGTTTTAATATCTAATGAAGGACGGCACCTCCGATAATGCAACACCCCTCAGCAGTGCATTGGACTCAGCTCAAAAGGTCTAATGGGGGGCTTCAATTAGTCTAAAGGCACTTGGGTTTGGGAAGGGAAAATCAGGCATGATTTGCTCTCTTGCAGCCTGAGATTTGGCACAGCCACAGACTTTAGTTTTAAGAATACACTAAATTCTAAAATATTCTTAAATTCAATCTTAATACAGTGAAAGTAAAAGGGCTGGCAACCGCTCCCTGTTATAAGGTGGGTTGGCATTGGGGCTTGTCTGTATTTGTATTTGTGAGGGTCTCTGCTTGCTCTGCTCTGGACATGCAGAGGATGATGTCTTATGTGTTTCCAGTGGGCTCCTTTGGCCACTCCAATAGGTTGTTCTCACGGGATTTTGCCGAGATCCAGAAGCAAGGGATCCAGGAAAACGGGATTTACACCAACCTTCAGCATCAGCATTTGAGGTAGGTTACAAGAGGTCTCAATCAGCATTAGAACTCAACATCCAGAAAAATTTCCCAACTCAGTAACTCAAACCAAACCATCCATTCTAATTGATCGTGTCAGGCTGGTGTTAGTACTATTGCCTCTGAGTCAGAAGATCGTGAGTTCAAGCCCCATGTCCAGACTTGGAATCACATAGTCTAAGCTGACGTTCCAATGTTGTGCAGGGGCATGTTGCATTGTTAGAGGAGCTGTCCTTCGCTGAGATGTTAAACCAAGGTCCTGACTGCTTGTTCAGGTGGACTTTAAAGATCCCATTGTACTATTCGAAAAGAGAAGGGAGTTTCCCACAATGTCCTGGTCAACAATCCCCCAAATAAAATCAGTCATTCACTCCATGGCTCTTTGTAAGTCATTGTAGCTCAGTGGTTAGAGTATTCGTCTCACTGGGTTCTATTCCCAGGACAAAATGTTGGGCAAGTTTCCTTACTCCACACGCCTCTGTTTACCTTGCAGTCAGTAGGAACCCAGTTGTTGCTTGATTGGCAGATTGTTTTTCCGGGGTAATAATCCCTAAAGAAAATAATAATAATAATTTGTTCACTCAATCCGGGACTGTTTGTGGGACCCTGCTGTGCGCAATTGGTTGCTGCGTTTCGTCCACAAAATGCACAGTCAATTCACTTTACAGCATATCTTCTGAAGAGCTTTGAGATGTCTCGACAACGTGATGAGGCGCTGTATCAATGCAAGGATTATTATTATTACTATTGTTTGGTCAGGCTTATTGTGACATGGTGACCGATGGCGGGGGATGGACCGTCTTCCAGCGTCAGGAGGACGGCTCGGTGGATTTCAACCGGTACTTGGGAGGAGTACAAGCGAGGGGTCTGCAGCCTGGAGAGGGAGCACTGGCTGGTGAACGAGGCTGTGCACGGGCTGACAGGTGGCGGTGGGGGGGGGAGGCAACACGCGCTACGGATGGCGCTGGAGGACTGGCACGGGGTGCAGAGTCACACCGTATACAGGAGGTTCAGGCTGGCCGGGGAGCAGGGCAACTACAGGCTGACGGTCAGGGAGTACCGGGTCAACGCAGGCAACAGGCTGAGCTACAACCATGTCCGCAAGCCCTTCAGCATGGACGACCAACAACAACTACGCTGGCGGCAACTGTGGCTCCTATTACGGGGCCTGTCTCCTGTCAGCCTATCTCGAGGCCAATCTGAACGGCCGCTATTACACAGGCAAGTACAGCAGCCTGACTGACGGTATCTACTGGGGAGCCTGGTACGTCCTGACAGATAGGCGGACTCAGCAGAAATACTCCTTCAAACGGTTGGAAATGAAGACGAGACTGCTTGGCTTTTAACCCAGAGCTCGGGAATGGGGAGGGGGGTGGGGAGGGTGGGGGGGGAGTTTTTTTCCCCAATTCTGATGGGATTTTTTTCTGTGCGTTTGTCTTCTTTGTCTCGAAAGGGATTTTCTTTTATTGTTAAAACTAAAGGCTGTCTTGATGGTCCGGGGGTAAATGTTGGTGTGATGCCGATTTAGGCAGACTCAGCACTTAGCCTCTCAAACCACTTGTCTCTGGGTTGGGGAGAGGAATTTCAGCAAGTGTTGCTCACTCTTGCTCTAACGACCCCCCCCACCCCATTTCTCCCACACGCATGCACATTTCCTTCACTGAGGAGATATATGTGTGTGGATGTCATGTGAGAACTCGATTGGGCCTCTAAACCACTGGCAAGCCTCACACACAAAGAACAACCACTATTGGAGAGAGTCCAAGGAAAAGGACCCTGGCAGTCACTGGGGGCAGGGAATCCTCTCATTCAGCTCCTGTTCCCCCTGCAAGCCAGTTGGCTGGTCCTAGCTGGACAAGCAGCAGGAAGGCTTGCCAGACACTGCTCTCAATGGCAAGCTATGCATTTGTTGCTGGTTAGACTCCAGCAGTTACCCCAAGATACACTCTGGGGTCCCCAAGACTTGGCTCTTGCCGACGTGCGACTAATACTTTCCAGAACTAGGTAAGCAGGATGCATCCCTCCAGGGAGAATGCGCATTCCATTCCAACAATCTCTCTCTGGAACTCATAACTCTCATAAGTCTCAATTGAAAGCCGTTTTTTTTTCGCAGTTTCTAAAAAAGAAAGAAACTGGCTTCCAAACTCAGACTGGAGTTAAGAATTCTCCACAATTCTGCACCAAAAACAATGTAATGATTCAACAGGCGGTGGCAAGAGTATAGAGTTTATTGCATAAGATGAAGGTTTAACAATCTGTAATCAAATTAAATTACATATAACACAATAACAATACGACACATTATATAACATGTAACACAATAAAAATACAACACATCTTTGTGAGCAAAACATTTACCAAAGAGCACGGACGCCATTTGTATCGCGCCTTTCACATCGGGAGGATGTCCCAAGGCGCTGGACAGTCAGGGATTTCCACCTCAGTGTTGAGACTTAATGACCCCCCTGCTGTAAAATCTACACATGTGAGAAAGGTGAAGAAGAACGGGATGGAGTTCTGTGATACCTCTCTTCTGCCCACAGTCTGACATCTGGCTTTGTCATATCATTAAAGGACATCTCAAACCGATCTGTGTTACTGTGCGTCAATTACTGCATTTATAACATGTAACACTCCATCGCCCAGCGATAATAACGACACTTTCTATCACTGAAACTCACACTGCCGAGGCGGCCAGAGGCAGAAACCCACCAGTGTGGTACCTAATAATAATAATAATAATAATAATAATAATAATAAACCTTGCATTTGATATAGCACCTTATCACGTCTTAGAGATGTCTCAAAGCAGAAAATACTGCAAAGTGAATTGACTGTATATTTTGTGGGCAACATGCAGCAGCCAATTGCACACAGCAGCGTCCCATAAACAGTCGTGGATTGAGTGACCAAATTATTAGTATTATTTCGGGTGGACGTTAAAGGTCACATGGCACTGTTCAAAAAAGAAAAGGAGTCTCTCTCTCTCTCTCTCTCTCCTGGTGTCCTGACCAACAATCCCCCCAAATAAAAAAATTGATCACTCATGCATAAACTAGCTGCCAAGTTTTACCCACAAAATGCACAATCAATCCACGTTACAGTATATTCTGTGAAGTGCTTTGAGACATCTCAACGACGTGATAAGGCGCTATGCCAAATGCAAGGATTATTATTATTATGATGTTTTAGTTGGGTCTTTATAATGGATTATCCATTCCAAAATGTGCATTTTCCAGGAAGAATGTCGACTCAGTGATTAGCAGCAGCGACCAGGGCTGATATCCTACCCACACCACCCCTACCCACCCAGTTGCTTCAACCAACTGGATTGTCTCTGCAGCCTTGCTTCCCAGCTGAGATGGGCTACCTCAGCACAAACCAAGGATCAAGCCCGAGATGTGACGTGCGTGTGGGGATCAGTACAGTACCGCACTGAACAGTGTCTCCCCCACCTGAGCCCGGAGAGCACGGGCAAGAGAACAGGAGGGTAAGTTATCTTAGCCAAGCTCCTGCGATGGGCGAGATCTCTCTCGGCTGAGCTGCTGACGGCCATACAGGAGGTCACGTGACAGCTTCCAGGTGTTGCTCCTCCAGCTGTCACTTCCAGTATCTTTTCCTTTCCGCATCCGAGACACTTTCCTTTGATCTTGTTGGCATGAAAAGCCCCCTGGCTGGAGGACAGCCAGCGACTGACAAATCCTTTCCAACCCCTGTCATCTTCAACTGCGCCGAACAGCCAGCAAGGCTTTCAGGCTTTTGAAGAATCCCTTATCTTGTTATAAAGGAGGCATTTTTGATTATAGTAATCCACTGCAATCTGCGTATGTTTTAAGAGTATTCGTTCTGCTTCTCCCCGCCCCCCCTTCCCCCCACAACCGGTCGGCTATAGGGAAGGAAAACCGTTCAACTTGGTCTTGATCAGTATAGGTGTGTCAGTGTGGCTCAGTTGGTAGCACTCTCACCCCCGAGTCAGAAGTTTGTGGGTTCAAGCCCCACGCTAGCACTTTGAGCTCACTTTACACTTTACACTTCAATACTGCATTATCAGAAGAAAAAAATCATAATCCTTGGATATGATAAACGGTCTCATGATGTCTCAAAAGGCTTCATAGGATTTTACTGTAAAGTGTAGTGACTGTGTATATTTGTAGGTGAATGCGAGTGATAATATGCACACAGCAATGTCCCCAAAACAGACATGAAGTGAATGAGGTGCTATATTAAATGCAAGGATTTTTGTTTAAAATGTAATTTTTTTTGTTTAACAAAATCGAAATAACTTCAGAAGCAAAAACACAGTTCTTTTATTCAACTTTTCATTTTATGAAACGTCTTGAGATATTCTCACGACACAAAAGGAGCTGCATAATAATAATCATCTTTGCATTTTGATACAGAGCTTTTCACGTCTTCTCGACATCTCACAGAATATGCTGTAAAGTGAATTGACTGTATATTTGTGGGCGATACGCAGCAGCCAATTGCGCACAGCGGCGTCCCACAAACAGTGGTGGATTGAAAATGACCAATTTATTATTGTTTTATTTTGGAGGGATTATTATTAGGTGTGTGGTGTAAGGAAACTTGCCCAAAGTTTCGCCCCCTACCTGGAGCTGAACCCAGGTGTCTCACTTGCAAGGCGAGTGCTCTAACCACTGATCTACAGGACTCCACAAATGTAAATAGAACTGTAATTTTAAACCTATCTCATTATTTGCTTCTAAAACATCCCAGATCAGGTGTGGGGAGGTAAAGAGAAAATTATCTATTATTGCCACCTCAAGTATTGGTTCTGTGCTATTTGTAACATACCCTTGTGATTTGAAGACCGAACCGACACACAGGACCCCTCCAATATCAGTAGCTTTTAAAGCATGAATCTGTCACAGCTTGACCAATTAATTCAGTCACTGGTTAATGCTATATAAAGGGTCAGTAAAACAGTGCATTCCAGCAGTTATTTTTTCCCCCCTGAAATCTTATTGCGCCTGATTTAAGACCAGTTCATTTTGTTACTGGCAACAGTACCCTCTTGTGACAACTGAAGAAACCGCAGTTTAAAAAAAACTCACCAACTTAAAGTTATAAATAATAATCCTTGCATTTGACATAGTGCCAGGAACACGTCGGCAAGATATCACAAAGCTTTTCACAGGATATAATGTAAAGGGTAGTAACTGTTTATTTTACAGGCAAACCCAGAAGCCAGTTTGCGCACAGCAACAGCCCACAAAAAGGCATGAAGTGACCTGACTTTGGGGATTGTTGACCAGGACATCGGAAGAAATTTCTTTCTCTTTTCAAAAAGTAAACCCGCATGCAGGATGCTATATAACTGCAAGTTGTTGTTGGCCTAGACTTTAAGCTAAAACCCTTAACGCAGATCTTGAACACACAACAAGAATTTGCATTTACATAGCGCTCTTCACATCTCGGAGAGCTGTACCTTCTTACTCAGAGATGAAAGTGCTACCAACTGAGATAGTTTAGCACAACTTGCAGATGTATGCTGAAAACAGACAGTAAGCTTTTTTGTGAACTGCGGGTGAATGTCAGAGATGGTTCGGCAGAATTAGACTTATGAGATTTGCACTGATGTTCATACAGAGGCTGAAGGCAACTATTTGACCTGACTTTTAAATATTTCTTTCCTAGCGATGTGTTCTGTACATAGGCATTTGTGCTGTGTATATGGAAGTTGCTCTGTGAAATGGAGCTGTGTATATTATAAGTGTGCGCCCTGTGTATATTGAAGCTGTGTGTATGTAGGTAGTGTCTATAAGTTTAAGCTCACAGTCTAGGCTGACACTCCGGTGTTTGCTGGGGGAGCGCTGCATTGTCGGAAGTGCCCTGTGTGTATATTGGAGTTATTATTATTATGTGTACAAAAGTAGGTGCCATGTGTATATTGGAACTGTATGTGCACAGGTATTTGCCTGTACAAATTCAAGCTATGAGTAGACAGGTAGGTGTCTCCTGTGTGTGCAGAGGTACATGTCATGTCATACATAAAATACACGGACATGAGGGCGGGTGGGGGGGGAGGAGGGAGTTGTAGGTCTTTGTACACAGGTACAAAGTGATGGTTGGGGGGGGTGGTAGGGGGGCTGTATGTGCATCTGTGCACAGGTATGTGTGGGTTGGGGAATTATGAGCTTCTCTGTATTAATACAATAACAATAATCCTTGCATTTGATATAGTGCCTAAACGTTTCAAAGGTACTTCACAGAAGATACTGTATAGTGACTGTGTATTTTGTAGGCGGGCGAAACGCAGCAACCAATTGCACACAGCGGTGCCCCACAAAACAGGTATGTGTGGCTTGGGGGGAGTGTGTGGTTCTCTCTCTCTGTAAAGAGTCACTGCTGTGTGTTTGTGTCTCTGTCTGTACAGTCAGTGCTGTGTGTGTATGTCTGTCTGTACACAGTCAGTGCTGTGTGTGTATGTGTCTCTGTCTGTACAGTCAGTGCTGTGTGTGTCTGTCTGTCTGTACACAGTCAGTGCTGTGTGTGTGTATGTGTGTGTCTTTGTCTGTACATGCCATCGGGCAGCCCCCCTTCCCCTCTCCTCCCCCGACCCCAATTCGGGTCTGAAATGCTGTACAATGTCCAGCGCCTTGGGACGTCCTCCCGACGTAAAAGGCGCTGCACAAATGTAATCTTGTTGCTGTTGTTGTTCTGCATGTGTGTGTGTGTGTCTATACACAGTCAGTGCTGTGTATGTGTCTCTGTCTATACAGTCAGTGCTGTGTGTGTGTCTATACACAGTCAGTGCTGTGTGTATATGTGTCTATACAGTCAGTGCTGTGTGTATATGTCTATACAGTCAGTGCTGTGTGTGTGTTTGTGTCTATACACAGTCAGTGCTGTGTGTGTGTACAGTCAGTGCTGTGTGTGTGTGTACACAGTCAGTGCTGTGTGTGTGTGTACAGTCAGTGCTGTGTGTGTCTGTAGTCAGTGCTGTGTGTGTGTACACAGTCAGTGCTGTGTGTGTGTACACAGTCAGTGCTGTGTGTGTGTACACAGTCAGTGCTGTGTGTGTGTCTGTACAGTCAGTGCTGTGTGTGTGTCTGTACAGTCAGTGCTGTGTGTGTGTACAGTCAGTGCTGTGTGTGTACAATCAGTGCTGTGTGTGTCTGTAGTCAGTGCTGTGTGTGTGTGTACACAGTCAGTGCTGTCTGTGGGGGGAGTGACGTCACGACGATCAGCTATTTATACAGACCGGAGAGTGCCATAACCCTCCGAGGTGCCCAATAATAATCCTGACTGGAAAAAATGGACCCCTTTTCATTTTCAGATTTTCGTTACAATTCATATCAAACACCGGGAGGAACTGGGAAAAAAAACCCCGAAAGGATCGGAGAATTAATTGCCGTTCACTTCTTATTGTCGTCGTTGTCGTCGGCAAACAGGCAGCGCGCGGGGCACCCGCAGTGGCTGGGAGGGAGGTCCTGGGCGACAGGGGCGCCATTGGGGGGAAGAAGACGCTGACGGCCGCCCGGACCCGACCCTGGTATCCGCGGCCATCCGCCATATCCGCGCGATGACGGGCCTCCTCGGCGCCCTCTGCCTCCTGTGCGGGTTCTTGGCTGCCGTGCGGTCGGCGGATGGCAGTTCGCTGGTCAACGATGACGTGAGGCGGACCATAGATTTGGGGACGCACTTGGCCAAGATCAGCACCGACGTCACCCTGTCCAACAGCGGCCACTCGGCAGCCGCCTCCTTCCTGCTCGCCGTGCAGCCCGGCCTGGAGAGCCACCTGGCCTACCTGGGAGTCACCGTAAGCCGCTGTGGTTGATTTGACACCGTTTGCCCCCTGACTCGTCTCGCCCCCCCACTCCCCACTGCACCCCCCCCACCCCCCACTGCCCCCCCACTCCCCACTGCCCCCCCCACTCCCCACTGCCCCCCACTCCCCACTACTCCCCACTGCCCCCCCACTCCCCACTGCCCCCCCACTCCCCACTACTCCCCACTGCTCCCCACTCCCACTGCCCCCACTCCCACCCCCACTGCCCCCCACTTCCCACTGCACCCCCACTGCCCCCCCACTCCCCACTGCCCCCCACTCCCCACTGCCCCCCCACTCCCCACTGCCCCCCCACTCCCCACTGCCCCCACTCCCCACCCCACTTCCCACTGCCCCCCACTCCCCACTGCCCCCCCTCCCCACTGCCCCCTCCCACTTCCCCCCACTGCCCCCCACTCCCACTGCACCCCCCACTCCCCCCCCCCCCACTGCCCCCCCACTCCCACTGCCCCCCACTCCCCCCCCACTCCCCACTGCCCCCCACTCCCCACTGTCCCCCACTCCCCACCCCCACTGCCCCCCACTTCCCACTGCACCCCCACTTCCCACTGCACCCCCCACTTCCCACTGCACCCCCCATTCCCCACTGCGCCCCCACTCCCCACTGCGCCCCACTCCCCACTGTCCCCACTCCCACTGTCCCCCCCCCCCCTCCCCCCACTCTCCCCTCCTCTCCCCTCCTCTCCCCCCCCCCCCGGGCTCGGGCTCAGCTCGTTGCACAAAACCGCAGAAACTTGATATCATTTATTTATATTTATTTATTTGTTTGTTTCAATGTTCAGGGCGGTGTTGCAAAGGTCTTTCGCGGTGCATTTGACCGGTGTGGGGAGGGGGGGGCGGGGGTGTTGTTGTTTTTTGCATTGAAACGATCCCGTTTTATTCTGGTTTCTATCCGGAGTGAGTGAGTGAGTGACTTGAGGGGAATGAATGAGTTGCAAACACTTACACTTCCGCGTAGCTCCCAGTCGGCCGCGGTGTGACACGTATACAGTGCAGCTCCTGCTCTCTCCTCCCATTTGTTTGCAATTCCTGTACTTTTTTTTTTAACACTACGATTTGCAAAACTTTTACTTTCACACAAAATACCCCCCCCCCCACACACACACAGACACACACACACACGAACTCCTCCCGCCAGTTGTTATCTGGGACTCTTGGCTTTTTTTTTAAAACATGTATTGCCACTTGTTTTATTTTTTGGGGGCCTCTTCTCCTCAAGGTGTGTGTAATAAATAATAATCCTTGCACCTGGGACGGGGAGAGTGCCTTTCGCGTCAGGAAGACGTCGCAAAGCGCTTCACACGGTACACTGTGCCTTTTGGGTGAACGTGACAATTAACTGGCGCGCAGCGATGTGCTACAAACAGCCGTTAAGTGAATGTCCCAAAATATTCGGGGGATTGTTAGCCACGACACTGAGAGAAACTACACTTTTCAAAGAGTGCAATGGGAGATATTTACCTTCCACCTGAACAGGCAGTTCAGACCTCAGTTTAACATCTCATCTGAAGGATGGCACCCCCGACAATTAATGCATTATAATAATAATAAGCCTTGCATTTGATATAGCGCTTTTCACGTCTTCTCGACGTCTCAAAGCGCTTCATAGAATAGACTGTAAAGTGAATTGGCCGTATATTTGTGGGCGAAACGCGGCAGCCGATTGCGCACAGCAGTGTCCCACAAACAGTCGTGGATTGAAAATGACCAATTTATTATTGTTTTATTTTAGAGGGATTATTATTGGAGTGTCAGCTTTGGCTTTACATAGATTTACATAGAATATGAAAATTCTGATGTGGGGTTTGAACCTGCAACATCTGACTCGGAAGTGAGAGTCCTATCAATCTGAGAATGGTTGAGACCTAAACAAGGTCACATCAACAATAAATTAAATTTGTATAGCACTTTTAACATTGGGAGAACTTCCCAAAACGCTGGACAGTCAGGAATTTGGACATAAGCAGGGAGCTGTGACCAGGAGGTGTTGAGAGCACAAATAAAGAATGGTCATTTAGATGAGGTACCCTGGACTACCAACATGGCTCAGTGCTGCCAGGGGGGAAAAACGACAAAACAAAAATACATTATTTAATAAAAAGCATTTAATTTGTTTGTTGTGTTGAAATATCACTTGCTTGTGATGTTAGCAGTATTTGTTCAGTCCAAAGCCTGAAATTTCAACCAATCTTTGCTCATGAGGTCATTAAATTCAATCTTAATTCAGAGCTGTTTTCTTTTAAAGAATTACGTAAAACTCGCTTCCAAATTAAGACTGAATGGAAGAATTTTCCACAATCCACCTTTCAGTCTTTAGGATCAGACAGCTGGAATTACAGACCTTCAGTTTGTAAAACTACATTTTAAGGATGTAATATTTTTGCACTGTGACTCATGTAAAATGTCTATCCCTTCCAATGTTCTCAGCACCTTTTATGACAATGACCAGACTAGGTTTTATCCAGCTGAGACTGCAGTACTTCGGGAGTACTGTATTATGTTGTTAGAGATGTCTTCCTTCAGATGAGATGTCAAACCAAAGGCTCAGCATACTTGTTCTTGTGGTTTTGGTGGATATTAAAGATTCCATGGAACTACACCAAAAAGCGAAGTGTTCTGGTACCCTCACCCAATTTCACCAAATTACAGATTAATTGTCTGTTTTGTTGCCACTTGTGGGGTGTTTCTGGATGCCTCTGCCATCTAAATAGTCACTGAACATCCAAGTGGCCTCTTGTGTGACATGCTTTGAGATATTTCAATATGAGGTGCCATTAGCAAATGGCAGGATTGTTGCTGCTGTGTGGGAGAGTTTTGCAATGAGATCTTAATGTAGCTCAAGTTTAAAATTAATAGATACAACTTTTACTTGTGTAATGTACACAAGGAGATGTGGGATGCAGTTTGCACATCATTTGCATTGCTAAGTGAGAGGTGAGATGGTTGCTGAGGCAGTGTTATTGTAGGTTATAAATTGAATTTGCAGTGTTAATGCCAGGATTTTAGTAAAACCTAACAGCAGTACCATGACATTGGGGAAGGGATCTTCTATTTCACTACCTCCTCTCTTTGGGTAAGAATATACACTCCACATCTGACCAGTGTTGTGTTTGACATGCATCTAAACTGTACCTGTCTATGAGACAGGTTAATGTTGACATTAGGTTGAGTCAAGTCAGGAAATAATTAATTTCCTACAATTACCATCCCTTATTAATTGAACATGACATTTGCAAGGAAAAGGAGATAGAATGTCTGGACAGCCATGTGTTGTACAAATTGATACCGTGTGAGGTTTGACCCTTGTGTCCCGTTTCCCTAGTACACTGTATACTTACCGATGTAGTAATCTCATCTCTCCCTTCCTTCATCTTGCAGTAGGATGACATGTCGGGGGTACGTTTGAGGGTCTAACTCCAGATAATTTCCTTTTTAATGTAGTCCCTTTAGCCTTCCCTCTGTTCTCATTTGGTGCATGCATCATTGCTTGTGTCCCTGAAATAGCAGGTAGCCTGCTACCCCTTAGTCAGTCGCCAGGGATTTGATGACAGCAACAGCTCCTAGACTGAGCTCGTAATAATAATGATAATAATAATCCTTGCATTTGATAAAGTGCTTTTTATGTCTTCTAGACGTCTCAAAGCGCTTTACAGAATATACTGTAAAGTGAATTGACTGTATATTTGTGGGCAAAACGCGGCAGCCAATTGCGCACAGCAGCGTCCCCCAAACAGTTGTGGGTTGAGTGACCAAATTATTATTGGTTTTTTTCTTGAGGGAATATTATCAGGAGTGTGGCATAAGCAAACTTGCCCAAGGATTTGCCCTGCCGGGAATTGAACCCAGGTCTCTCACTTGCAAGGCAAGTGCTCTAACCACTGAGCTCCAGGACTCCACCGGACTAAGAATTTACAATAGAAGCTAAAAGTACTAGGATTATCTGTCGCTTTGCACACTTGACTATTCTGGCTGATTCCATCCGGTCCACTTAATCGGGCTGAGATTGACAGCTCAGCGCAGGGGCAGATAAAAGTGCGACAATTAAAAGGAATGGAGCGAGAGAGAGAGACACTGATTTAGAGATTCGATCATTTGACACTTTTTTTGTGTTTGATTCAGTTGAAGAGTGAGGATGATGAAGAAGCCATGTTGGTTCTGGAAGAAACGTCCATCCGGGGAAAGAGGTCTGTGGTTTCTTTGTTTCAGTATCTCAGCGTTTGACCAGCGTTATACATTAGCAATGTGTATTCTGACTATTTCTGTTGTTTACAGCGGCAAATTCTTTACCGCGCGGTTTGGGTCCCCGCTGGGGGCCGGCGCCAAGATCAAGCTGACGCTCGAGATGACGTTTACCCATGTCCTGCAACCTTTCCCGACCCACATCACCCAGGCCGAGAAACAGTTTGTGGTGTTCGAGGACAACCATTACTTCTACTCGCCCTACCCCACCCAGAGCCAGACCACTCGGGTCAGACTAGCCTCCAAGAACGTGGAGAGCTACACCAAGCTGGGCAGCCCCAGCAAGTCTGAAGATTCTATTGAATATGGACCTTATAAGGATGTGGCTCCCTACAGCCAGGTAAAAGCAGAGATCTACTTTATGTGTCTATCTGAGACCCAAGTGTACTTTGGTAATCCTGCAGGGTGTCTGACGCATGCAGAAATCTATCACCATGTTTAAGAGTATCTAAACGAGATCAGGATTTCCACCCATTTCCACATGGAAATGTTCCCTATGTCTGGAATACAATGGAATGTGCCCCCTCTCCCTGGAGAGATACACTCTAATTCCGGAGAATAGTAGGTACAGCTTGGCAAGATCCAAGGCTTGGGGACCCCAGAGTGTGCTTACAGTGTGGAGTGAGAAAAGCCACTGTGTGTGTCTGTGACCGAATGCAATTTACTTGTAGGTTTTACTAAATTATCAGCGCAAATGAGAGTGCGAGTCTTGAACCTGGATTTACCACCGTTCTCTATATAATCGTTTTCCTTTGCCTCTTATTCTATGCTCTGTTCAATCTGCACGTCACAGGATATGTTGAGAGTCCACTTTGAGAACAATAGCCCTTTCCTAAGCATCGTCAGCATGACCCGGCTCATCGAGGTCTCGCACTGGGGCAACATCGCTGTGGAGGAAACCATCGATCTCAAGCACTCGGGAGCCGTTCTCAAAGGGCCGTTCTCCCGATACGATTACCAAAGACAGCCTGACAGTGGTATCTCCTCTGTTAAATCTTTCAAGGTACTTAATTTCTCCTTCCTCCCCCACCCCCAAACTGTTCTCCTGTGTGAATGGTTTCCATTCAGTGATGCAGTGTTTTGAAGGAAACTTCCAACAGCAGAGACTTGGCCTGTGGGGCTTTGGCTTGGGAGTTCAGGAAATGTCTCGTTGTTGAGCCTGACAGGCTGGTGAATGATCATCGGTGGCTCGGATTCAAGCATACTTGGCTCTGTTGTGTATGTCCTTGTGGAGCCAGTTCATCTCTGGAGAGACCTGTGTACCTCCTCTCCTTGCCCCAGGGATTCAAACCTGGGACAGTCTCAGTTCCACAAGGCTCTGTCCTGCCTTAGCCATTCTCAACCGAGCCAGTGATGAAGGGCGGTGGGGTGGGGCATTTCCTGAACGGGTTTCAAAGTTGACGTGAATCCCTGTTGTGTCTCTAACAGACCATCTTGCCAGCGGCAGCCCAGGACGTTTACTATCGGGATGAAATTGGGAACATCTCCACCAGCCACTTGGTTGTCTTGGACGACTCAGTGGAGATGGAAGTCCGTCCTCGCTTCCCGCTCTTCGGTGGATGGAAAACTCACTATGTTGTTGGATACAACTTGCCGAGCTATGAATACCTGTACAACCTGGGTGGGTAAACGATAGAGAGAGGGAGAGAATTCTGTAAGGCTGAACTTGGGTTGCCTGTGAACATTACAGGTGGCATCAGGAACAAGCTCTGTACTGACTGCTCCAAATCCAGACAGTTTTTTGGGGTCTTAACCCCTAAGCAACCATTACTGTGACCCGTTGCTACTGGGTTTATTTAGCTTCATGCTGAGGTCCATTCAATCCGGAATTAGCGTTCAAGTTCTTGTCCTTTTACTGAGTACCAGGAACTCTCTAGTAACTTGATCAAGTCCTGTACTTTCTGTGGATTAACAGTGAGGATCAGCAGGTTATTCCACTGCAGAGGATGTCTCAGCTGAACCAGATCCTATCTCAACTGATGTCTACATGTTGCACTTCCAGCAGAGGGCGACTGGATAGTGATTGGGAGAGGGATGTCGGACTGTTTTTTCCCCATTCTCTTCCATTCCCTGCCCCTCACCCAGGGTCGCTTAGACCATTTGTAACTCAACACACACTGGGGTTGAGCTTTCGCACACTGTGAAGCTCAGCTTATTGCTGTCAAGCGTCAGTGAAAGAAAGTCTTGATATGGGAAAAGCTTATAAACCAACTGTAATCTCAGTTTTGTATGTTTGTTTAGTGTATTGTTCATCCCCTGAATTCCTACACTGCTACTGCTCCAACCAGCCTTCAGCATCTCTTTCCTGTGTGACTAACTCCATCCTCCGTTTTTCAGGTGACCAGTACGCTCTGAAGATGAGATTTGTGGATCACGTGTTTGATGATCAAGTGATTGATTCCCTCACTGTGAAGCTCATTTTACCAGAAGGAGCAAAGTAAGTGAAGACAGTCTCTGGAGGGAATCATAAAACAGCCAGTGTCAGATGAGCCTGTGCAGGACTAGCCCGAGGAATGCAAGAGATGGTTGATAACTTGCATGAATTCTCACAAATATCACAAGGAGAAGAAGAGAATTCAATGCTGTGCCTTGTTAATGGTGTCTATCGCATGGCTGTCAATATTATATGCTGTTAGTGCAGCGCACATAAATTCAATGGCAGATACACAGGCAATTCCCTGGGAAGCACTTTGAGACAATTTGACATTAGAGTGCTTTTATGTAATTGAAGGATTAATAATAACTAACTGACTACTCTATCCCAATTCCCTCCAAAAGGTGTTCCCTTTGGGAGGGGGTGTGGGGGGTGGTCAGTGAAGATCTGTTAATTCCCCACTTCAAGGATTGCATTGCTTTCCCATGTCTCCTAACAATCTGCTTCAGAGGGTGACAGACTAGGCCTGGAGGTGGGATGGTCGGAGGGGAATTGAAAAAGAAATGGACAGACAGCATTGTGCTGGTGCTTATTTTCTTTGTCTCTTGCAGGAATATTCACGTGGACACCCCATACGACATAGACAGGAAGCCCAACGAGCTGCATTACACCTATCTGGACACGTTTGGGCGGCCGGTCATCATTGCTCACAAGTCCAACCTGGTGGAGCAGCACATTCAGGACGTTGTGGTGAGTCTTCTTCCTGCACTGAGGCAGCTCAGGTCCACCCTGAAATCCTGATCAAGTTGTATCACATGTAATTGCTGCGATCAAAGTGCACTCGTTAGTCCAGGGGGGAGTAGGGATCATTCCCAGAGTATGGAGGATGGGCTTCCGGGGTGTGGGGGGAGTGTATTCCCTGGATTCTTGGTCTGGGCTGCTCGTCTGGGTAACTTGTAGTGTATTGGTTAGAGCTCTCACCTCACAAGCGAGAGGACCTGGGTCAGGAACCAGGTTGTCAGTTGATTCGCAAATTGATTTCCGGGTGTAATAACCGCTTGAAAAAAAATTAAATGAACAATAATGTGGTCACTCATTCCACAACTGTTTGTGGGGACACTGCTGGGTGCAATTGGTTGCCACGTTTAACCCACGAAATACCCAGTCACTACACTTTACAGTATATTCTGTGAAGCGCTTTGAGATATCTCAATGGCGTGATAAGACGCTATACTCAAATGCAAGGATTATTATTTTTGGTAATCCTGGTTTTAAACGCTGTATCATACATGCGATAGATTTAATGTCACAACTTTCCATCTGGTTTCAGGTTCACTATAATTTTAACAAGATACTGATGCTGCAGGAGCCTCTGCTAGTGGTCGCAGCCTTTTATATTCTCTTTTTCACAGTCATCATGTACGTGCGTCTGGACTTCTCCATTACCAAGGTAAGCAGCTATGGGCAACGATGTGGGAGTGAGGAGAAAACTGTGCTGGAAATACAGTGCAGCAGGTCGATCAGCACCTGGTGGAGAACCCATGGCTCTGCTCTTTCTCTCCCGCATTAAGCAAACTCCAGTGAAACTTGCACAAGTCTGGTCTGTATATGTCGTATAATTGCCTAAGTTGAACATCTTCCCAAGTCCTTTTGAATTTCCTATAACTTATGTAAGTTTCACCTAACTTATACTTTGCATAAGTCATATTAAATGTATGGTCCAAACTGGTATGACTTATGTGAGGTTTAACTGTTTTGACATTTGTTTAAAAACACTGATCCTTTTTTTGTGTGTGTCATTTAAAAGCATTATCATATTTAATCTTGCTCTGCGGCTCTCCTCCCTTTATGTTGTCCTTCAGTTGGTAAAGTGGGTTGGGGACTGGCGAGGGTAGAGCAGGACAGCTCAGCTTTTCGATGTGTAAGTGGGCTGTCTCCAGGGGAGAAGAGGGTAAGCTGTGAACAGGAACTTGGTACTTAGTGTGAGTGGGAGCTCACTTCTGGACGCTGATTGAAAATGATTTTTTTCCTCTCTTCCTGAATTCCACCTTGTGACCTCATACCAAATCCTGAGGCATTGTGGAACATCTATCAATGTTTCCTGATGTTGCTGACTCGCTGCCAGGGATAGTTTCTCAAGTACCTCACCCAAGAGCTCCTCCATGTGTGCTGGCAGGTCATTTGACTTGAGAGATTAGGCGAGTCTGCGCTCACCCATATAACGGTATAAAATTACAGCACAGGAGGAGGATCCCAGCCAGCCCATCGTTCTCAACAGAGTCAGCTCTCAGGAAGAGCTCACATCCACTTTCTGGCAGCGGGGAGTGGGGGAAATAACTCGATCTCTAGATAGCCACCTGAAGCAGCTTATCATCTTCCTTTACACTTTACACACAGAATACACAAAAAAAGTTTTGCCCACAAAACGCACGTTACAGTATGTGAACCGATTTGATACTTTTCAATGATGTGACAAGGTGCTATATCAAATACAAAGATTATTATAACACACTCCCCTTCCCCTCCCTCTTCTCTACAGGACCCAGCGGCTGAAGCCCGGATGAAGGTGGCGTCCATCACGGAACAGGTGCTGACTCTGGTGAACAAGCGACTGGGGCTGTATCGGCACTTTGAAGAGGCTGTGAACAAATACAAGCAATCACGGGATGTGGGCACATTAAACAGCGGCCGCAAGACGCTGGACACTGAGCACAGGAGCCTCTCGGGTGACATTGCTGCTTTACAGTCCAAACTGAAGGCGGAGGGATCAGACCTCGCTGAAAAGGTAGGGGTGTGTGGGAGGCTGCGGTAGCAATTGGTGACTGTTTCTCTTTGTGTCCCTGGGGGTGATCCCAGAGGCAGTGAGGAAGGAGGCCCTTCCCGTGGGATAGGTTATGGAGAGGAGTATCCATCCATTTATCATTCATTTCTCTGGCACAGGTTAGCGAGATCCAGAAACTCGACGGACAAGTCAAGGATTTGGCCCAGAAGTCATCTCAGGAGGCAGAGAGGTTGGTGGCTGGTAAAGTCAAGAAAGACACGTACATCGAGAACGAACGGCAGCTCGCTAGCAAACGCCAGGATCTCATCTCCAAAATCGACAACATCTTAGATACTTTGTAATAACTGCACCGAGTCGGCCTGTACAACGAATGAAAGTTTCTAAAATAATAAACCAAATTCCATAAGTTTTGCGTTGAATGTGAGTCGAATGCATTTATCGGAGGTGCATCTCCTTCGCGTCTAAAGGGTGTCGAAATTTGATCTTTAATTTTAAAATCTTTGATCTCATAAAGAGTCCCACCTAAATATTTGACCTGATTTTTTCTTTGAGGCTGAGCGACCTACTGTGCATCCAGTGTTCTCCAATTTTATTCCCAGGTCGATTCTGTAGTCACTTAGCCTTGTTGCTGGCTTTTTCAATACCAGAGATACACTCTGGTAGCAGTTTCAATGCACTATAAACTTGCCCCATACACTTTGGGTTGTGCCCTTAAGAGATTGAGTGGAAATTATCCTTCCCTGTTAATTTGTTCTTCAGGCATTTTTTTTATATAAACAAAAGTTTTCTACTGTGAAACGTTGAGTAGCAACAGTTGGGATCAGTTTCAGGACTTTGATTCAATCGAATTTTGTTCGGGTGTTTGTGTTGCCTTGCGGGAAGGGGTGGTTCTTATCAAGTTCAAGTCACCAGATTTTCATGGCTTTTGAATTTCTTGAAAATGGATGGCCGAAAGATAAATAAAGTACCACTGAATCTATCCGTGTGCTTGACCAGTGTTTTGTGCTAACTGTGTACTGCTTAGGAACGTTGATGCTACAATGTTGTGATTTTATATAAAACTGCCATCTCCTACGCTATACCTGCAGGGTTTAGAAACCTATCCGACTGGAAAATCACCGCCTAGAAAAAACCTGAAACAATCTATGCTTCTGTTTTTCTTGCAATTCCTCCTCCCCATACCTTGCTGGCATTGCTAAGATCCAGTCAGTATTGGCAGATTATTATAATAACAATACTTCCATTTGGTGAATTACCTTTCACGTTAGGAGGTCTTGGGCTTAGAATTTACTGTGGTCACTCTTTTGTGGGCACTGTGGCAGCCACTTTGTGTACGGCAATGTCCCACAAATAGCCATGAAATGAGTGACCAATTCTATTCGGTGGATTATTGGCTAGGACACTGGGGAAAAAAATCTTTAATGTCCTCCTGAACAGGCAAAAGGTCGTCAGTTTAATGTCTCTTTCAAGGAGTGGCACCGCCAACAATGCAGCACACCCTCAGCACAGCTGGGGCTATTCAACAGCAGGGCACTACACCAGTGTATTTGTGGGGTGAGGTGTGTTGTTCCCATCTTGACTGCTGTCAAGTGCAAAAAACCATTGATGAATTTCAACACCAATCTAACCCTAAATATCTTAATAACCCATTCTATATGTTAAATGCTGCTCTATGTGTTGCAATAACCCTCTATGCCACAAGGTGACACCATTCAACCTCAAATCAAAAGATTTAATAGTTTAATGAACACAAGTACTTGGATAATCAGATAGAAATGTTATTTTCGTATAACTTCAGTTCAGTGAAGAGTATCACTACTGTTTTTGTGATATATTGTCCCTAGTGTCTCCCTTTTTACATCATCCTGCCTTGTCACTCAGACTTATACACCCTGTTGCACCTTTAGACTATCAGTTATGGTTTAACTCTGTGTTGAAACACTAATTAATGTTCTGGCTTGTCTGCCAATCAAATGCCCCAGTAATTTACTGTTGTCATCTGTGGCAGTTCAGCATTCTGTATATTTGGAATGGAGCTTGGAGTTTGATGGAACTATATCCCACCAGCTGCTGCCTTTTGTCAAGCAGAAAGCCAGACTGACATTGTGTTTGTGAATTGATTCTTTTTGGTATAAAAAAATCACAAAAACATTACAATAAATGCCTCACTCACCATCTGAGCAGGTCCCATTTTAGCTTCCCACTCGGCTCCTGTCAACTCTGCAAGCCAAAGCCCTGAACTCCTGATAGGGCTGTCCTAACTGGGCAACCTTACCAGACAGTGCTCTTAATAATAATCCTTGCATTTGATATAGCACCTTATCACATCTTTGAAACATCTTAAAGCGCTTCACAGAATGTACAGTAAAATGATAAGACTTTTTTTTGTGGGCGAAACGCAACAGCCAATTGCATACAGCAGTGACCCACAAACAACCGTGGATTGAAGTGACTTTTTTTTAAAAAAAGGAATTATTACACCCGGAAAAGGTATTGACTAATAACCGGGTTCCTACTTACTGCTAGGTAAACAGGCGTGTGGAGTAAGAAAACTTTGCCCTGTCCGGGAAACAAACACAGGTCTCTCGCTTGTGAGGCTACATAGGATTTAGCAGCAAGCAAGCTATGTGGTTTCAGCCAGTTAAACACCAGTAGTTACACCCCCCCCCCCCCCCCCCAATGCAGGCTCTGGGGTCCCAAAGCCTTGGTTCTCTCCAACCTGCTTTAAAGTCCCACAAACTCTTACATTCTGTTACACTCCCCGCGCACACTGCCCCCCCAACCCCCACGGCCGGGAGAGGAGGCAGACGAATGTCTGCCTGAAACATGTCCACGGTAGAGAGGACCCCTCCCCCAGGCTTTAAAATGTGCGTCACAGCAACAAAAGTCACTTCAAAACGCTACGCCTATTTGTTCATTGAAAAAAATTAAAAGACTTGGCAGACGTCAGAAATCCTCTTCCCCCCCCCCAGATGCAAATTTGAATTAATAAAGTGCAAAGCATTTTATCTGAAGCGGGTGGGGGTCCTTTCCTTCCTCTGGCCCAGACCCTATTGATGGAAGGATCCAGAGTTGACTCACATGCCTGTTGAGCGGTTTCTCGCTGACAAATTCCCGCCCCTGTGAATTGAATTTGCAAGGTCCCCCCACGTGGGTTCATTGACTTTTCAATCGTTTCTCAGCTCGGCTCCAACCCTCACTGGGCGAGATTCTCAGCCGGGCTCTGCTCACCGCTGAGTGATGGCAAAACCCCCAGGAAGGGAGTTTATTCCTTTAACGATCCTTGCATTTGGTATAGCACCTTATCGCGTTTAAAAGCACTTCACAAAATAATAATAATAATAATAATCCTTGCATTTGATATAGCGCTTTTCACGTCGGGAGGACGTCCCAAAGCGCTTCACAGAATATACTGTAAAGTGAATTGACCGTATATTTTCGGGGCAAACGTTGCGCACAGCACTGTCCCGCAAGCAACCGTGGATATAAGTGACCGAATCATTATTATCTCTTTTAAAAAAGAGGAGTTATTTATTCATTGCCCTCGGAAAAGCGATCCGCCGATCGACTTGACAACCAGGTTCCTACTTACTGCTGGGCAAAGCAGGAGCGTGCGGCGTAAGGGAAACCTGCCCAAACATTTTGGCTCGCTGGGAATCGAGCCCAGGTCCTCGCCCTCGCTCGCCCGCCCTCGCTCGCCCTCCCTCGCCCGCCCGGCGAGCGCTCTAACCACTGAGCTGCCGGACTCCACAACTCCTTCCTCAGCTCTCAGCTCAGCTCCGACCTTCGCTGTGGGCGAGATTCTCAGCCGGACTCTGCTCCTTGTTGGAGTGATGGGAGAACCCTCTCCCACCCCCATCATCATCATCATCACCACCACCACCACCATCATCATCATCACCATCCCCCTCCCTCCCTGGAAACCTTATTTATTTATTTATTTATTTATTCATCGACGTATTTCTTTATGCGTTTGCTTTAAGCGACAGCTTCGACTCTTACATTAAAAATGTTCTGCTCACGGGGTGAAGACAGGGCTCAGGGTCTCCGGCGGCCTCTCTCTGTGTGTGTGTGTGTGTGCGCGCCCTCTCTCTCTCCCCCTCTCCCCCCCCCCCGGACATCCCGGGGCTTTCTCTCCGTCCGCGCCTTTTTTTTTCATTTTCATAGGTGTCCAAAGAGAAAGTTCGCGGCGTCCATTAACACGACGGGGAAACCCCCCCCAAAAAAAACCTCATCTGAACCGTGGTAGAAAATTATCGGACGACGCGGGGAAATTTTTTTTTTTTCTCTCTCGACGGACGAGACGAAAGAGAGCCTCGAACAGGGAGACGAGTCGTTTCTTCTTTTGTGTGTGTGTACGGATTTCCGCAGGCGTTTTGGGGGGGCAGAGGCAGCCGGTGAAAAGGAGGGCCTGACTCGACGTGAGAGGGGGGGAGGGGTCCTCGCTCCGCACTGTGTTTACAACATCCGGGTCTCGTTCTTCTTGATGACACGAAGGTGTTTGTGGGAAAGCGGCGCCAAGATGGCGGCTCCCATACTGAAATGGAAGCGCGTAACGAACTGCAGCGGGCCGGTCCCGAGGCCTCGCCACGGACACCGCGCCGTCTCCATCAAGGAGCTGATGGTCGTGTTCGGAGGCGGTAACGAGGGCATCGTGGACGAGCTGCACGTTTACAATTCAGGTGCGAGAGAGAGAGAGTGTGAGTGAGGCGAGCGAGGAGGGACAGTTCAGTTCCTCTCCGTCCGGGTTTTTTTTTTTTGGCGGCGGCGCGTGTGTTTGGGAAGATGGAGGGGGGAAAAAAAAAGTGTCCGCCGGTTGTGCGGCGCCGCCCGCCCTCCCCTCCCCCACACCCCCCCCCCGGTTCCGGCCATCTCCAAAGATGGCGGCCGCTGTTGACTGCAGCCTGACAACCCCGGGCGGCTTTGGCGCCAAATACTTGGCGTGCCATTGGGACAACACAAGCCGCCGATTCCCGAGCTTTGTATTTTTTTAATTTTATTCGACTGATAATAAAAGAGTCGGAAACGCGCCGTGTCCGGTGCAAAAACCGCGGGGGCCCGGGAATCGCGTTTGTAATATCTAATATACACACATATATTTATATGTATATATATATATATAGACGCGCTTTTATTTTCATTCGGGAGAGCCGAGCGGGAGGACGGACGGCGCACTCTCGCTCTGACCCCCCCCCAGCCCCCCGCCCGTTTGCTTCCCGCCCTGCTGCTGCTGCTGCTTTGTGAATAAAATAAAAACTTTAAACGACCGGGTTTTTTAAAAAAAATTTAAAAAAATTTTTATATATATATATCTCTCGCCGCCGAACGCTTTAATTTCTTAATTCCTTTCGATTCAAAACGCTGAACTTAAAAAAAAAATTGTACAAAAATAATATAAAATAACTCGGCCGCGAACAGAGAAGCTTCTGGTCACGGGAGAGGATAGGAGAAGCCAACATGGCGGCGCCCGGCGGCTCACTTGCCGCCGCTGCTGTTCTGGCGTTTATTCCCCCCCCCCAGGAGAGAAAAAAAAAGCCGTTTGACGCCGCCGTTTCGAGGGCTGATTGATTGAGATGGCGGCCACCCCACCCCCGGTGGGGGCGGGAGGGGTGGGGGGGTGTTGCCTGGCCGCCACCACCGCTCTTTTCTGCGCGTTGCCGCAAGTCGGGACGGGGAAGTGGGGTGGAGGAGGGGGGGAGGGGGTTGTTTTGTTTTAAATCGCCCGAGTCGCGGCGCCATCTTTGTCGGTTGTTAGGGGAAGGGCTGAGCCCAACGCCCTCATCCTGTGAGCAGCCAGAGGGAGGGAGGGAGGGGAGGGAGGACTGGAGGCTGTCGCTCGCTCGCACAGCGCTGCGCTGTACCGGAGACGTTTAATATTGCAACACACCATCACAGCAATGCATTATTGCAATCAATAATGCTTCTTGGCCATTGTTTTGTTTCGCTTTCATTTATTTCCCCTCCCCACCCCCAACCCCCCCCCCCAAAAAAACTTTTTTTTCGAATGAATTTGTCATGTTTATATCTCTTCCCAACCCCCCCCCCCCTCCCTTTCCCCGCCACAAAAGTAGTTTTTTTTTAAATCAGGAAGGATCGACTTGTTGAGCAAATATTTATTACTTAAATAAATAAAAATACCTGAAATCTCAACGCGCTGCTGTTCACTCGGCGGCGGTGAGTCCCAAGATTTTTAAGAAAAAAAACATGATTTGTGGGTTGCTTTGAACTTTGAACCCCGATAATATTTTGCTTTTTGATAACCAGTTTGTTCCTTCTCGTCCATATGGAAAAGCAAAGGCATTTCTGAGATTGTTTTAACACAAATTGCAAACCGAAGCTCAGGTAGTAACACATTGGCATCAGTTATAAGATGCCGACCCCACATTGGGAATTGGAGCTCAAGTCTAGGCTGATACTTTTAATTCCTGTGGCAGCATACTGCATTGTTGGAGGTGCTGTCCTTCCGATGAGATGTTAACCTAAGGATGACTTTGTCTGTTCAGATCCCATGGCACTATTTGAAAAGAGAAACAAGTTATTCCCATTGTCCTCCACACGATAAAATTCATCATTCACTTTGTGGTTGCTTGCGGGACATTGCTGTGTGCAAATACTTGCATTTGGAAGACATCTCCCAAGTGTCCTTTGCAGGCGAAGTCGCTAGCCAATTGACACACAGCAGCGACCCACAAACAGCCCTGAAGTAAATTTTATTTGGGAAGTTGGTATAAGGTAATATTCTTGTCTTTGAAAGCTTGCTGGTGTGATTGAAATTGGAACAAACAACTTTCTGATACTGTGACCTACACCCATGATCCTGGATGTAGGGTTCATACTCTTGGATCATGGGATCTTATTCTTAACTGACATGTACTCGGTCACAATTCATGTTGGTGTGTTGTATGATGTCCATCAGAAGATAGAACTGTTTTGAGGTTTTTTTTTCCCTCTTCTCCCTCCTCCTCTCTAGCCTGGGGTTACTGAAGCCAATTATAATACTAACTAAGATTCAAGAATCAAATGCAACACATTCCTGCTGCTTGTCTCAGTGCCACGTTGATTTACTCTTCTATTGTTGATTGTATTCCATAAACACTGCGTGTACACCTCAATCAAAACTGTCATACATGTGTGATGAGCTTGTTTAGGTCATAGTTCATCAATGATCTTCTACCACCACCTCTAAATATGCCCATGACCTGCAAGACTTTTCCAATGGGGTATAAATCATGTAACTACGTCGATCGGTTATCGCATTCTTGGTGGACAGATATTTTGTCTTTATTAGTATAGATAAATATATTAGACCATATCTACATTTATGACTTTTCGAATAAATTTATAAACGCATTGATTTTCCCAATGCTTTACAAAACTAGGGTAAATGCGGTCAAAAATAATTTACTTTTACCTATATAACAATCTTTGTGCTTGCTTTTGTTTTTCTAACTTTATCTAATAATCCGGGATCCCACTTCCTGAATAAATCTCGTTTTCCTGCATTTTCCAAATTCACAAACCTCTTTTATGTTTGGGTTTTTAAATGTGATCATCTTGGTCAATATTTTGAAATGCCAAGAAATTCTATGGATGATCTCTCCAGGCTCTAAGGTACTGGGAATGAATGTGAATATTGTACCTTGAAATTTAACTTGTAAGTAGATCTGTGTATCTACTTACATGTTAACTAAAACTAAAACACTAAAACGTGTAAGTAAGTCAAATAGGAAAACTGGAGAGAGAATGGTTTTATTTGTGCTGGGTTTTAATTTCAGAAAATGTTTGTACTGTGCATTTATCCAGCCGAGCTGTGCAGAAGGGAATAGAACCGAAAACATCTCTGCTTGGATAAAGGATTAGGCCCAAGTTCTTCCTGCTCTGCATGGCTTAGTATTATACTGTAGTATGTTTACTTATTGAGCCATTGGTGAGCTCAAATATCTATAACATCTGTTTTCCATCACACTGCCCCTTTTTTGGGGGGGGTCTGTTTGCTAATGCTTTACACTAGATGTGGCAGGAGCCAGAATTGCCTCAACAAAGAGAGAATGTAATTGGAGAGAGTCGCTTGCACGTTTCATTATAGACGCACAAAATGGGGGGGTTGGCTTTCCAGCTCATTCCACAGACTGCTTGCAATTAGTTTCCCAGTTACATAATCTGTAGAGGGAAGTGGTTTAACCCCTGCCAAAATTGTATGATTCTGTGAAATTTCCCTCTGATCATTGAAGGTAATCTCTTGCAGAAAACCCGGGCTATGAATCTAATGCAAAGTCTTTCGTCCCTAACCAGTTGTATTCCAGAGATGTGTCTTAGTCCCAACAATTTAAGAGTATTTGATTGTCTTGTAGATTTTTTTTGTGTGCTGGGTAAGGAAGGGGATATGTAATGTGTAGTAAAAATCTAGTGGAATAATTTGCTAAAACAGCTGCAGGCAGTCGGCCTCTGCTATGCTGATATGGCTAAGAGAGCGGTTAAAGCAGGTTATAGGGTCAACTAGATAAGCTTTGAGTTGCTATAGGCCCTTCCACACCCCTTCCCTCCCTCCAACCCCCCCCCCCCCACCACCACCCACAAATGTGCTCACTCAACTGCCTTTGAGAATTGGAAGGAATTTTCCATAGTGACTTTCTTCTGAATTGTCTTTTTTGTTTTCTGATCAGTTTCTACTTCGGGGGGAGTGCGGAGGAGGAATAGAGTAACTGACAACAGGAGAGGAGTGTTAGATTTGGTTGAGAGGTACAAGAGCAAAGTTATCCTGAGAATGAACTCAGTGACCCTTTTCCTTCTTTCTGTGACAAATTTCTTCAGCTAAGGTGAAGTTTTATTTTCAGGATCTCTAAAGAATTTGCTAAATATTTGCAAACACATAGTGGGGGGGATGGTAAAGATAATACATTGTAAATAGTGTAAACATAAGATTGTAAAACTCGTTATCCAGTGTTTCTTACACATTCACTCGCTTATACTGTCATGTCAGCTGTTGTTGAGATCACAGCTGTTTGTATTGCTGTTGTCTTGTGGAGGAAGTAGTTCCAATCAGATTATCTCAAGGGTGGAAGGAATTTTATATTTCTGTGCAGCTGAATCATTTATCATCTGGGTGTTACTTGCCCAAATAATTCTTAGTTTTTTGCTGAATATTTTTGGTCTGCAGTAGCAAATCATTGAAAAACACTCCCCACTTCTTTATTTGTTTACCATGAGCTTTTTTTTAAAATGCTCTGAGTGTGGTGAACCTAATGGGAGCTTTTTCTCCTCTCCTTGCCTTTTCTCAATTTTCAGATTCAAATGATACTGCAGCAGAAGTAGTGGGAAATAAAGCATTTCTATTGCGGATGCAGCCACTGTCAGATTACAATCCAAGAATATTCCCTCATTTAGGAAGGTTGATTTTCATTGTGGTTAAGGTAGTCTGCCATCAGTCCAACTGCTCTGTCAGCGTCTGCGCTTTCTCTGAGTCGCTGTTACATCTGTCTCTCTGCAATCTGTTACCTTGGAAACCGGTTAAAATTACAGCTGAGCTGGAACAATGTGCAGTTAAAATAATCCTGGTCCATTCTCTTCACCTCCACCACATGAAAATAACCAGCTTGGGAATAACAAAACCGTGTTTAGCTTTCATAATCATAACAATATAACTGATATGCTGCTTGAATTCAATTAACATCATTATAGCCTAATATTGAAACCCTAATATTTCCTGTTTTACTTGCAGTCTTTTAAGTGTCATTTTTATGACACAAGTTTAGTGGCATTGCTTTTGCAGTTTCTCGTATTCCATGACATTGAATGTTTGTTATTGAACCAGGACTCTTGCCTTGAAGTCTTATTTTTAAAAAAGATACCAGATGTAGAATCAAATCTTAAGTTGAACTAATGTAACAGAAACAAACAATCCTCCAAATAAAATTGGTCACTTACTCCATGGCTGTTTGTAAGACAATGCTGTGAGCAAAATTGGCTGTTGGGTTTGCCAACAAAATTCAGTCACTATCCTGAGAAGCGCTTGAAGACGTATCAACAGTGTGATTAGGGCACTCACTGTACATCAAATACAAGGATTATTATGTTTGTCTGTTTTCTGGCCAGTTTACCTGGTGGTTCCCTTTCCTGGTGGTGATGATATCTAATTGCTAGAATAACAGCACTCAAAGAAATAGTTCATCCGAGACTTGTGTGTCAGTCACCATGTAACTTTCTGAACAGCTAGCCAAGCCTGATTCCTCCATGCCTAATGTTCACACAAGTTCACTGTCTCACTCACATAGTGATCAAGAACAAGAAACCTCAGCTAAATCATCATAGATGGGAGATTAAACACTTTACTTTCTAATCTGTGTTCTTCAGGTGGTGGTGCTCATTGTCCACTTTGCCAGCAGAGAAAAAGTGATTTTGAGTGAACTACTGTGCTCAGGAGGTGTTGGGTTACAGTTGAATCATTCTTAAATTATTCAGCTATGACACTAAGTGGAAAACTGCTCAGTTTTCTACTATCCTTCACCTTAACGAGGCACAAGAATATGACCTCCAGGAAATTTCTCTTTGGTGGGGTCAGTGTTCATATGATTGGAATGAAGTTAATACTGTCATTTGCTCTTGCCCTCAGCAACCAACCAGTGGTTCATTCCAGCAGTGAGGGGGGACATTCCAGCTGGATGTGCAGCATATGGATTTGTTTGTGATGGAACGCGATTGCTGGTTTTTGGTGGGATGGTGGAATATGGAAAGTACAGCAATGAGTTGTATGAGCTACAGGTAAGTGGCGAATCATCTGAAGAACATGAAGCCATTGACTACAATGACAATTTTACATTTGTATTGCGCCTTTCACATAGGGAGGGTGTTTCAAGGTGCTTCACAGAGGTGACTGGGTGGTTGGGAGTGCTGAGGAAGGTGGACAGAAAACTGTCATCAAAAGGAAAGAAAAACCCAGCTTTAAAGGGAAGGGAGGTGGAGGGACTCTGGGACCGAATTCTAGAGAGTGGAAGCAGAATTGTTGAAAGCTTGACCACTGATGAGGGATGGATTGGGTGGGTCCCACACTTGTTTTTCTCAATTAAACCTGATATTGGTATTATTTGCCCTTTACATTTTGAATGTTCTATGATATTCTGACGTACGGTGATTATTGTGTTTCCGAACACACCAGCTAATTTATACTAGGAATGTCCTGCAAACAGCAATGAGTTTGATCAAATGTAGTCCTTTTGGTCAATTGAACAATAATGATTAAGACACCAGGAGAATGCCCTTCTCAGTAAAATAGTCCTGTGCATTCGGGTGAGACATTAAACCGAAGTCCCATCTGCCTGTTCAGGTAGATGTTAGGCATCCCGTGCCACTATTTTAAAAAAGAAGGGAGTTTCTCCTGGTGTCTTGGCCAACAATCCTCCACCCCCAATAATAATAATTTTAAAATGGTCATTTGTTTTGTAGCTGTTTGTGGGATAATTGTGTGGATTGTGCTGTCACATTTGCTTACAAATGCAGTGTAACTCCATCTCACAGTAAATCCTGTGTTGCGCTTTGAGACATCCCTCCTGCATGGTAAGGCTCTATACAAAATGCAAATATTAACTATTATTATTGAATTAAAATTATTGATTCAGGATCAACTCAATCACCACAACAGGCAGACAGGATGCACCACCCAAGGATACGTGGACCTCAGAAGGTTCTAAGTTTGGTTCTCAAACAAAGTTCAGTTAGCTAATCTAAAGTGGGGTGTTGGTTAGTAAGGACTAGATATGGCTTCTTTTTATGTTTTTTTTTATATCTCGATGGTCCATTGGATGTGTAGAAGATTCAGTGTCTTGACTATTTTTAGGGTCAAAAAGAGATTTCATACTGTTCCTGTAACTATTGACTAATATGTAATGCAAAGTTGTTCAATTGTAGAGGCTCAATTGACACTTCAAAATGTTACATTTTGTGCTAAATTAATATATTCATAAATGTTTACTTGAAAACTTAAATGAACTTATAAAACTCTATTCCAACATGTCAGTGAATTATGCTGAAAATAGGGAGAGTGCCATTAGAAGTTTTTTTTCAACATGTTCTAAACAATTGTTTAGAAACAGAATTGTTGCTATTGTGGAAATTTAGGGAGCCCCCTAAATTGTGGCTTAACGAAGACCTGTCCAAATTTTTGCAGTCTGTTGTGTAGTGGACTGTAAATAGACAAGCCATGATAATGAATTGTGCGGTGAAACAACAAGGCTGCAATTAAATCTTTCCCTTGCATTTCTAATGTTGTCAAAGTTGTGGAACTGTGCATGTGGGTGGATAATGATAATATAAAATCTTTGCATTTCATGTAGTACCTTATCACGTCATTGAGTCTCTAAAGTGCTTCACAGAATGTACTCTAAAGTATACTCTGTTTTGTGGGCATAATATACAAGGACTGATGTTAGAAACCTATGCTGTTGTTTTCAGGCCAGCAGATGGGAATGGAAGAAACTGAAGGCCAGAGCACCTAAAAATGGTCCCCCACCTTGTGCGCGTCTCGGACATAGCTTCTCAGCAGTGGACAACAAATGTTACTTATTTGGAGGATTAGCCAACGACAGTGAAGATCCGAAAAACAATATCCCGAGGTATGGATGCTCTCGGTTGTTTTTTTTCCTAAAAGGTGCTTACATTTCCTTTCTAAACTTGACCAACTCCGAAATACAACCAAACTCAGCAGCGGATGAATTTGAAATGAAGATGACAGAAAGAGGCAGGTTTTGTGGGTGGTCTGGGCTAGGATTGAAGAGGCTCGACTAGCTTCTAATGAGTCAATAGGGAAATTCAGTTGGATTACATTACAAGGACAATTGTTGGGTGGAAGAATAGGCCGTCTACTGAGGTGTTTCCAAACTATCGCCTATAACAATGTGATTTCCTGTTACTGTTCAGAAGTGTGACATTGTGTGTATATATATTTTTGCATTTAAGATGTGCTTGTCACAAAGTCCTCTACATTAGTTAGCTCTCAAGACCAGGATGGTGGAAATGAACCTGCACTTAATTTGGCTATTGTATCTGAATTATTTTTAGGTATTTAAATGACCTTTACATATTGGAGCTGAAGCCAGGATCAGGAGTTGTAGGATGGGACATACCTGTGACCTATGGAACTCCGCCACCACCCAGAGAGTCGCACACAGCTGTCATGCACTGCAACAAAGTCAAGAAACCCAAACTTGTCATCTATGGTGGAATGAGTGGCTGCCGGCTTGGAGACCTGTGGTTGCTGGATATCGGTAAAGTAACTGCCCTTTTCCAGCAAATAGATTTTGATGTTTAAGTTGCAGGTGGTCAAAATGTTTCTGACGGTGACCTGCTTAAGAATATAGCAGTTGTATAGGTCAGAGAGGTAGGAGGGAGCAAGGCCGTGAATGGCCTTGTAGGTGAGGATGAGGATCTTAAATTCGATCCTCTGGGGATGGGGAGCCAGTGGAGGCGATTGAGGGTGGGAGTGATGTGGTCCCGAAGCCTGGTGCGGGACAGTACACGAGCTGCAGAGTTCTGAATGACCTGCAGTGTGGAGGGAGGTGCCGGGAAGGCCGGCGAGGAGAGAGTTCCCATAGTCCAGCCTTGAGGTGATAAAGGCGTGGACCAGTGTTTCAGCCGCGTGAGGGGTGAGGTAGTGCCGTAGTCTGGCGATGTTCCGGAGGTGATGGAAGGCGGTGCCAGATGTGGTGAAGAAAGGACAGCTCGGGGTCGAATAGAACACTGAGGTTTCTGATTGGCTTTGAGCGGAGGAGAGTGCAGCTGATGCTGTCAGCGCCTGAGGTGCGGAGGCGCTGACGCGAGCCAATCAGGAGGGCCTCGATTTTGCGTACGTTGAGCTGAAGAAAGTTGTCTCTCATCTGGACTAGATGTCAGACAGACAGGCGGTGGTCGTGGAGTTGGGAGTAGAAGAGGAAAGGTAGAGTTGGGTGTCATCTGCATCCTCACCCCTACAATTTTTTCATTTTTTTTGCAGAGACTTTGACTTGGAGCAAACCAGATGTTGCTGGGATCCCACCACTGCCTCGAAGCCTGCACTCTGCCACAATGATTGGGAGCAAGTGAGAATCTCTTCTTGTTGCAAGACAGATTTCTTTGGAAACTGTTACCAAATTCTGACGGAGTTATTTGCATCCAGTAACACAGTGTGTGCCCTCCTTTCAGAATGTACGTCTTTGGTGGCTGGGTCCCCCTGGTGCTGGAAGATGTCAAAGCTCCCACGCATGAAAAAGAATGGAAATGCACGAATACGCTGGCCTGTTTAGATCTGGGTAGGGTACAGTCCGTTTCTTAATCATTTTGAGGGATGTTCTTACAGATGTGCTGTTACCTTTGTGAGGTGTGGAAAAGAATGGTTGAGGTTAAGAATGCAAACGGTTTTTGGTTAGTGGAGTAGTGGGTAGTGGAGTAATCCTCTTTAGAGGAGGTTTAATAATCTTATTAAAAATCATAGATTAATGCTCAAATGTTTAATAACAGACATCTGGAACCGGAAGAGTGTGATACTGCCTTGAAACCAATCCAAGATATTTATTTTCCGCCAATGGTCTCCAAGAGGAAGTGGGAGTGGTCTTGTGAAAAGTATTGGCCGCTCCAGGGTGGTTAGCAGTGAGTTTGAGACTAGAATGGATGAGCCTAAGAAAGGGAAAAAAATAGTTTGACCAGACTCATTTACAAAGTGCGTGTGTATGTGGGAGGAGACACCCTCTTTGTTTTTTCCTCCAATTCTTTCCCTTGTTGGGTCTCCCAGTCCACGGACTGAGCTTGAATGGTTATCATAGATGTGGTGCTGAAATCTGACCTCCTTTTGGGATGTGATGCTGGATGGTGCCAAGCTTTCACTTTCTCAAGTTAAATAAGAAGGGCCAATGCCCTTTGTGCCGGACATGACCAACATTGAAAGGGGAAGAGAGAGAGGGTGATGAACATAGCAGTGGTGTTTAGATAACACTGTGCTTGGATTTTAAACAGCTGTAGCAGGAAGGAAGGCTGAGGGAGGTGAGGAGGCGCACAGCCTTGAGGTCTGGGAACAAATATGTTGGAGTAAGATAATGAGCATGTGATGAGTTTGCAATTTCTGCAGCTCTCATTACATGATTTGAGTGATAGGTTTTCTGCCTTGTCTAATTACTCAAATGAAATATCCAAGTTTGTTGTCTATAGTCCAGCTCTTTTTAAATCAAATCAGAATAAAATAGTTCAGTCTGATATTTAAAAGATGTTGATTTCCCTCTCCCCAATTAATATGCGCTAAAATTGATGATAATGACTCCTTCCCTGTGGGTAGCCATTGGGCTAGTGGCTCTGCAAGTTGATGCATGTTTTTGGGGGAGTGGGCTTCTACAGATGAGAAATGTTTATCCCACTTAGGCTTTTTGAATGTGTGAAGTATGTATTTATTATGGCAGGAGCAGAGGTATATTAACATTGTATTGCTCTGCTGTACTAGAAACTAATACTTGGACACAGATCTGCACCGATTCATTCGAAGACAGCATCCCTCGTGCCAGAGCAGGTCACTGTTCAGTTGCTATAAGCACACGACTTTATGTTTGGAGTGGGCGAGATGGCTACAGAAAGGCTTGGAACAATCAAGTCTGTTGTAAGGACTTGTGGTATCTCGAAACAGGCAAGTGCAATCCAGTGAGGATACAATTGAGCATATTGTACTTACAGTTTTCTGTTAAGATAAAGGCCAGTATGACTCTGACCTAGGAAAGGGAATTGGATTAGTATTTATAAATTTCATGAAATACCATGCCAAAATGTAAAGTGCATGTTAAAACAGTAATCATTGTTGCTGCTTTGAACACTTACATATTTGTCAGCTCTATAGTGGTCAAGTCCTAACCGATTTTGCCTTGTGTAGGTGAAACCATTGCATAATCTTTATTGTAACAACCATATCAAAAAGATCACGCAAACTTGTGTGAAAAGATTACAGGCTAATCGCCATATTTGTCGGACTTTGCACAGCGTTGATTGTTTCGAAAGGTTCATAAATTTATCAGCAACAGTGTTAACTGTTGTGATGTCGCATGCATTTTTTTGGGTGCCTAATCTGGACGGGGAATGGGAGGGAGTATTGGTTTTACTTGAAAGCTGACCATTTTTTCCCCTCCACCACCCAATAGAAAAGCCCCCTGCTCCTGGCAAAGTCCAGCTGGTTAGAGCAAGCACCAATTCCCTCGAGGTCAGTTGGGGATCTCTACCTACTGCTGACGTGTATTTGCTGCAGCTTCAGAAGTATGACGTCCCAACAGCCACAGCTGCCATGACACCCTTGTCCAACTCGGCCACTTCTGCGAGTTTCAGGCCGTCTGTCAGTCCTGCTCCCGCAGCGTCTGCTCCTCCTTCGCCCTCACCAGTCCAGCCGGGAATCCGCTTTGTTACACAGACGGCAGCCACTCTGGCAGCGCAGGCAGCGTCTCTGACTCCTGGGGGAGTTACATCACCAGCCATAGTGAGGATTCCTGCAGTGGCTTCGCCAAGAATACCTGGTAAGACAATTGCTTTCTCGGGAAGAAAGAAAATCTTTATGGAAAGGGCTCGGATTTAAACGATGCAGCCAGATATCTATATAGTGATTGTTGGGCATGGATGGTACCATTATAACCATATAATTCACTTAATAAAATATCTTCCAGCATATTATTGCCAAGTGATGGATACCATCCTTGGAAACACTTTATGGTGAATGTTACAAATGTGTATAATTTTCATTTAAACACTGAGGCAGCAACATGGACTGAGTCATGTCTCCACTGGGTAATAGAAAGTGGTTCTACCATAGGCTTGGGCAACTTCCAAATGGCTACATATAGACAAGATTCCACACCAACTTGTATTTATATAACACCCCTCATGCAGGGTAGCATCCCAGAGCATTCGATAGGGGCTGAGCATGATGCCAAGCCTGGGGGGAGGTGACCATAGGCACAGTTTGCTTTTGCAGATCCCTTTCCAAAATGTGCAGTTTTCAAAATATCTTTATTTAATCGGTGGATAGCCAGTAAAACTAGTGATGTACAGATGTGGCACAAATGTGGGTTTAAAGTGCAAGTTTCTTGAGACTTCTGATCGCTTGAACAATGGCCAAAGGGAAGATGACCAGTTAATAGCTGGTCTGGATTCAGACCAAGGCTTTGGAGGCTGCGCTGACCTATTGCACATTCTGAAGACGCTGCTTTATGCTGCTGGTCTGTTTTAACGTGATGGTGAATCAGGCTTTCAGTGAAGATAAGTTTTCCCCCATTATAACTATGGGGTATTCCAATGTTCTAGAATTCTTGATTCAAGAAAAGGGTTTACTGCTAGTCATTGACTGCATTTTAACTTGAGAAAGCACTGTGAAGGAAAAGATTAGAATACAGCTGATATTGTCTAATCAAATTATATCTATTTGCTTCTTTCCATTTTCCCCCCATCAGGCGGGGCAGTGATAAGAGGCACCACAGGACTACCAGCAACACCTGCAGCATCAGCCACTTCCCTCATTGCTATGCAGCGCCAAGCTCTGTCTCAGGGGAAAGCACCCATCACTGTAGCAACACTTCCCTCAGGTGTCCGTATGGTGGTGCCAGCGCAGACCACAGCCATGACTGTAAGTTACGCAAGTGCTTTTATGTGGTTTCTGAGGAACTGAGTACAGTGTATTCCTTTCCAGGTGCAAAACTCTGGGTCACTATTGTATCAGAACCCCTTGTGCATGTGCTTTTTTTTAAAACCCACTCCCTCCTGCCATTTTTGCTGCTGAATTTGTTTTTGAAGATCACGACCGCTCTGAAAGAGGAAGGAAAAAGCTGAATATTGCAAAAAAAAAACTATCTAGTGCAGTATGCATTGTACGTCATGAAGTTCACATATGCACCAACCGCTCCGTTTGCAAAGGAGACATTCTGCACTCTTGTAATTCTGACTTAACCATTAATTAGTAACTGGTCAGAAAATTGGTCAGCAGTGCCGAATATTAAAGTAAACAATAGCACGTCAAAGGTTATTACCTGTTGTTGGCAAATGTTAATTCTGAATACTGATAACTGACTGAATTTTTGGTGCAAATGTGATGGCTTCCAGTTTACAGTCAACTCAGTTTTTTTTTAATTTGAGACTTTTCTAGTCTGTAATTTTGCCTTTTTGAAGAGGATACGGTTGTAATCCATTCATTGTAATATGTGGCATATTATAAAATCTAACCCCTATTTACAGCAGGGATGAGATCAGGAATTCATTTGTTTTTTTTCAAGCTGTTTGAAGGGTATTTACATGCTTGGCCATGCATTCAAAGTGTATAATGTTGCACTAGATTCTTGGGATTTATTGGTCCATAAAATAATCTCAGTGTACAGTTTGGGCCACGACATATCAAGCGATGGCCAGGGTGGTGGAAGTCGAAGTAGATGGACCTTAGTCTTTTTGCCGATCAAATTCTTACGTTCTTATATTGGTATAAGAATGACTTCTCTTCTCCATCTCTAGCCACTCACTTCCAGCCCTCAGATGAGTGGGATGGCGGCTCTGGCAGCAGCAGCAGCGGCTACACAGAAGATTCCATCCAGCACAGCAGTGACCTCAGTGGGGCTTCCTCCTGGTGCAACCCTTGTGAAAACTATGGCAGTCACCACTGGTACCAATACCATGCCAGCCACTGTCAAGGTAGCCTCATCGCCAGTCATGGTACGTCCTTAATGTCCGACAAGGTATTGTGACGTTTTCTCCAACTAGTGAGTGAGAAAAGACTCGGGTGTTAGCACCAAGTCAAGCTGATCAATAGATTTTCTCCCTTACCTGCCTCCCACACAAAATAACCGATCCTGTAATAAGCAGTTCAATTCAGAGTATTTTCTCATCTAAGTTTTGAGCAAGTATCTATTTTTAAAGTCAGACTGTTTTAGGATTCTAGTTAGTTTTTTTCTCTCCGTCATTGTCTCTTTATTTTTGAATCCTTCTGTTCAGACAGTGGGACATGGTGATTTTTTTTTTACAGGAAGCGGAGTGCAAGCTGAATTGAAACACCAATTTCAAATTCAAAGTTTTCCTGGAAAAAAGGATACTTTTTTTGATTGAGGTTTGAATCTAGGACAAACACTTTAAAGGGTATTGCCTGTGTGATTGTCCATTGTGGGCTTGGAGTTATCCTAGACCTAATGGTACACTGAAGAATGAAGAGTCCAAAGATGTATATAGTGTAAGATTTCAGTGTAGGACAACAAAAAGAGGTAGGAAAGGTGTAGGACAACAAAAAGAGGTCTTCTCACGCCTTGCCTATAATACCTTGAATCTGCTTTGCAGGTTAATACACCAGCGACCTCAATGCTGAAGACTGCTGCTGCCCAGGTAGTGACTCCCTCTAACGCTGCCATCTCTACCACTCCTGCTAGACCTATCATCACTGTGCACAAATCAGGGACAGTCACTGTGGCTCAGCAAACACAGGTGGTCACCACAATGGTAGGCGGAGTGACAAAAACCATCACACTGGTTAAAAGTCCTATCTCCATGCCGGGAGGAAGCACTTTGGTAAGCATTTTAGTATACTTGCTGGTGTGTGGCTGCTGTTTTTATTAGTTCTCCTTTTTATCCGCAGCTATTGGGGAACGTATTTTAGAAAATATTCTTGATTTTTGTTGAAATATAAAATTGTATATTGGCATAGTGGGCATTTCATTCCTTTTCATTAGCCAAGCACCCTGTTACAAAAATTTTCTTATTTCATCATTCAGTAAGTTATCTTTTAGTAAAGCAGAAGGAAACAAAACCCACTAAATTAACTGATCCCAGGCAGCACACCTGTGAGATCCTACAATTGATCTTGAGTGCATTAGCCTGGATATGGGCAATGTGAGAGGGGTAGGAATAAGAAAATCTGTCAGGATTCCAACTTATAATTGCTATTCAGTGCCTCCTTATACTGGCAAGTGCACATTGTGCATGGACATTGGCTGAGGATGGGATCTAGCTTGTCTGATTTTTCGACCCACCATCACGGCTGATGTTTTGCTCTGGATTTCCACCCTTCAATTACTCCCTCGATTTAATATGTGGCGCATGTCAGAGTATGATCCCTCCATTGTTGAATAGCTAGTTGACACTTGTCTAGGAATGGCTACTAAGGCACGGTACTAGAGGGCGCACAGTACTGTGGCATTTTCCTCAAAAGGAAGTGAGAGGAGGAGGGACGCTGTGCATTGCTCGTTGCTTCTGCACCACACTAGATTGATCAAATATTAATGTTTTCATCTCTGTTGAGCGGATGTGTGCTTTGTGTTGGTTGTCACCTGTCTGTAGGACTAAGTGCTTTGGGTTAATTGATTCAAGAGGTGACTAGGTGGGGGGGAAATGCATCCTATCTGAAGGTAAAGTAACTGCTTGATTATTGAGTGTATTGATGTTTTGTGTGGGGGGGAAGCAATAATTCAAACTATTTTGCCTAGTGTTTACTTATTTTTTCAATATTCCAATCTTATCCTAGATTTCCAATCTGGGCAAAGTGCTAACGTTACAGGCTAAACCTGGGCAACAGGCCACCCTCTCAGGCCCGGGCTCCTCGGGGCCACTTAAACAGATCTTCCAGGTTGGCAAATTGCACTGCATTGTGAAACTTACCACTGTTATTTTTCAGGATGTCCAAATAGTTTTTTTTTAATTTAAAAACAAAACTTCAGCCATCAGAAAGCAAGGTTAATGGATGCCATTTTGTTCAAAACTCTTAAATAATTGATGTGTTGATGCTGAGGGAGAAAGCAGCTCAAAACTCCCTGAAATGAGAGTAATGCCCAGCTAACCTGGAGAGTGGGGAGTGTTTGGGTTCACGGTATATTAGATGTTCCCATTTAGAAAACCCCTTTTAGACTTGAATGGTGTCTTCTCCATGAATGATGGCATCAGAGTAGGATTTAGATTTGTATTCTAAGATTATTCCATAGAACTGGAGAAAGCATGGATGCAAGGCAACTGCCATTATATCAGCTGGTTCATCTTCTCAGAGAGAGAGAAAAGGAGGGAGAACCGAGAGAGAGCCCTAATGGAAGTCCATGATCCTAAATTCTATTAATTTCAATAGTGGTTTGATGTTTCATTCCCGTCTGATAGTTTGTTTGTATCAGATATGAAACAATTATCCCATAAGTTAAAACGTGTTACCAAATCAGTTAGAGATGTATAGTTTTGTATTCAAAAAAATATTTTTTCTCTCCTATGACTGAAATAAGTCATCTATTTAATCTAGTAATCAGCAAATATTAACTATAAAGTTATGAAAGTTGTGGATTGAGTTGAACAATGAGTTGTCTTAGCTGCAGATAGCTAAAAGAAATAGAAGGGAAAATCGGATGCTAAGACATTTTCCTCTTGCAAATAACCTAGTTGCAACCCATAATTGTTAAATTATGTTAAATATTTAGTTTTACAGTTTTTGCTGCGATTCTTCTGTTTTGTTACAATATATATGCATATGTACGCTTTATAAAAGTGCACGATTGTAAGTATCTGGACAGCTTTCTTGGGAGACGGAAGTTAAAGGCTTGTCACTACTTTAACATACGTTTATATTAGATTATTTCTACTATCAGTTGACATATGGTCTCTTTCCTCCCAACCAATACCTTCATTCTGTAGACCAAGGGTCAGCTGCCTCCAGGAGCCACCATTCTGAAGCTTGTTACATCAGCCGACGGGAAGCCAGCTACCATCATCACCACCTCCCAGGCAGGAAACGTCGGTCTTAAGCAGACCTTCGTAAGCCTTGGAAATGTGTCGGCTGCATCTTCTAAACCGTCAGGCACCACCATTCTCAAAACCATCCCTATGTCTGCTCTCATTTCACAGCCGGGAGCTGCAGGTAAGAAGTGAAATGACAGAGCTGTGTGTCAAGCACTTCATCACTTAGTGCCAATTTTTATAACTCCGATTAGTTGAGGAGAGTTACAAGAAATGATTCTTACATACAAATTAGGTGGGAAAGGCTAAGCAGTGAGTTTGACTGTTCTTAAAGTACTATTCTGGAGTCCTGTAGCTCAGCGGTTAGAAAACTCGCCTTGCAATTCCCGGCAGGGCGAAACCTTAGTCAAGTTTCCTTATTCCACACTCCTGACGATAATCCCTCAAGAAAAAAAACAATAAATTGGTCACTTCAGTCCACGACAGTTTGTGGGACGCTGCTGTGCACAATTGGTTGCCGCATTTCGCCCACAAATATACAGTCAGTTGACTTTATAGTATATTCTGTGAAGCGCTTTGAGACGTCTAGAAGATGTGAAAAGCACTATATCAAATGCAAGGATTATTATTATTATTTTTCCTGAAAGCTGCACTGGACAGATACATTATTAAGTGCTTTGTAATGTTATTTTTCCTGAAAGACAAAACAAATGCAAGTTGTTGGTGCATTTGTCACATGGTCGCGAAGATGATGCCGAATTTTGGTTTCTGGATGTTTCAGGTATCGCAGGAAGTGGTTTGAAATCCCCCATTACCATCATCACCACAAAAGTGATGACGTCAGGAACCGGAACACCAACAAAATTTATCACTGCTGTTCCTAAACTGCAGACTGGGCAACAAGGACTCACCCAGGTCAGTAACCCTGCTGCCGATTGAGGCTTGTGCGTTTTCCCCCTAATAATCCAAATAGGTAACTAATAGTGCCACATAGGCACGTTGTGGATCTAACATTATGTTGATACTGCACTGAATTATAGTGTGTGGGGAAAATGTAACTGGGAAGATTGAAGGACACTTGCTGGCAGAGCGCAGGAATGAATGGAGATTGTATATGCTGTACAGAGGATTCTTTGGGAATCTTACATGCAATATCTGTTTTTGCCATTTTGTCCACATCTTTCTGGAGATTTGCCACTGTGAAATTCTATACAGGGTTTTGGACATAGGGTAAAATGAGTCACCTGGCCTCATTCTTTTTTTCCCAGAATTCTTATTTAACATACATCTAGACAGATTTTTTTATTAGCCCTCCAAGATCCTGTCTGGCGTGAAGGGCGCTATATAAATACTTGTTGTTTATTTGATGTGCAGAGGATAGAACTGTGGAATCGGACCAAATTGAGCAATGTCACCATATTTCTTTGCAAGAGGATGTGTACATGTTAAAAAGCTTCACCCTTTACAAAAACGTCAAAAAAATCCTTTCTTAAATATTCACTCTTTAAAAATTCTTCAGGATAATTGTAAACTTTTAACATTGCAGTAAACTCCAACTCTATCCTGCCCAAGTTGTAAAAGAGACCTTGTGTTTGTGAAGTACTTGAACAAACACCATTTTCATTGTGTTCACATTGCACTTACTGCTTTGAGGTGTGGCTATATGCTGTTGCTTTTGGTTATGCTGCTGATCTGTTCTGCGAAAATATATAAATGTATTTGTATAAAATAACTGACTGTTAGCAATTTGAAAAAAGCGATGAAGGTAAGAATGATTCACATTCATTCTTCTCATCTGGGTGAGGTTTTGTAACTGTCAGGATTGTCTGATTTGCAGGTGTTGCTGAAGGGAGCAGCTGGACAACCAGGAACTATCCTGCGAACAATCTCTGGGACGCCTGTGAGTGGAGTCCGACTGATCACCCCAGTGACGGTGTCTGCCAGCAAACCAGCGCTTACAACTTTGGTAGTGAAAGGGACCACAGGTACTGGATGGGAGTGCGAGTTTTTCTTCCCTGTGGATCAGTGGGTAAATGTGCCCCTTGTATTACTGAACTGTACAAGGAGGAGAAAATGCAACCTCAAATACTTCTTCCAATATTATTATTAACTAAAGTTAATCAAAGGGGAGGGGGGGGCGCTGAAACCCATGGGGAATTTGAAAAAGTGGCCAACAGGTGATAGTGAAATTCGTGTGACTAATTCTTTAATCTTTTGACCACAGAGAACACCAAAAGTGTCTCATTTGATTTACCTTGTAGTAATTGAGGATGTCCAGATGCCTTTGATTCCAGATTTCCCATTTTCAGTGAACAGTACTGAAAGGTAACTAAAGGCTAGTTAGGCTCCACCACTGTTGAGCGCACTGAGACGCTACTCTGTGTGGAGGGTGCTACTATACGTGCAGGTTGTTGCAAAGTATATCGACATAAGTGATGAAGAGAATGCAGCATAGATTTACTTGGGTGTTAAGATTCATGGATGGTTCTGATGAAAGGCTATAAGAACTACTTTAACTGGAGCAGATTGATAGGATCTAATAGATATGTTCAATATTCATTAAAAGGGTTTGAGAAGTTAACCAGTGATAAGTTATGTCCACTGGTTTGTAATTCATCACCAAGTGGCCATAATTATTAGAAAGTAAAACAAGAGGTTCAAAAAAATTATGGCTAACCAAAAGAATATTGGAGCTTGTGAATTCATTTTCAATTGAAATTGAGTTAATTACACCATTTTAAAGGGAATTAAACACTTGAAGAAGAATAAAGATGTAAAAGCAATGGGAGAAGAGCAGGGATTGGAGTAGACAGCACCAGCTGGGAGCTGGCGTGCTACATTCACAATGAGCCAGGTAACTGTCTGCTGTGATGAAATTTATTGATTCTACACCTAAATATTGAGTAAATTACCTGGATCAAATTCATCTGTAATACACCTACATTTAAGTAGGAACCTCGATATGTCCACAGTGGGGAGATCTGGTGAGATTTCCTCCTTAAAATGGGTCTCTTTATTAATATTGTCTAAAATATTATTTATTTTGCCTTGGGTTAAAGTTTAATTTGCGTGACATTGAGTGTTGTCTCTTGTTAGGTGCAAGCACGTTGGGGACAATATCTGGTGGAATGAGCACAGCACTTGCGGGATTGTCCACTGTTTCACCGACATTCAGCACGTCCATCGCCAATCTTGCTGGTCAGGTCATCAGTGCAGCGCCAAACGCTACACTTACTACTCAGAAACTGACCACTGTCCCGGGAAACATTTCCACGGCTCCCATCATCACTGTCCAGGTAGGCACTGAATTATTGGGGTGGGGGGGGGTGGGGCTCAAGTTTTTACACTCCATGCTACAGAAGGGCAAACGACTTGATGAATCTTGTTTTGAGATGAGCCATCCTTCTTCACCTGATGTATTCAAATTATCATGCTGTCAAGAACTCTAATGTACATCTCTTTGAGTTGTTCTGCGAACAAAGTCTGGTTTATTTTATTAACGTAGATTTCTTAGCAATTGTCGCACACTATATGCAATTCCAATAACCTGGTTTATTGGAGGTAATGTGAGGACTTCACTGACTGACACTTTTAATAGACACTGCACGTTGAGGGTCCAAGCAATGCTGTAGGAACACTCCAAAAAAGAATATTGATGCCCCTAGGCACAGTGTCTGCATTTATTACATTCAAGATATTATAGCAGTGTATTGCCAGATTATCCTTCTGCCTCTGCTTTTTAAATTGTTTACACCGAGATAATTAAGAACGGGATACCAGGAAGTATGGTTGAGGCTGAAATGGTGGATTCATTAAGAAACCACTTGATGTTGTGAGAGGAGGGTGGCATTCTGAAAGGATGAAATCAATTGGTCCGAAGGGTCTTGTCATGTGGAACACCCTTGTGATACACTTCATCATCAGAGAAGCGCTGACTTCTTTTCGCTCATACCTAATTCATATAAACATTCAGTTGTTTATGGAAGTGGCTTAAGATACAGCGCACTCTTGAATCGTGACTCATGTGTATTTCTATGAATCCTTTTCTAGCCTGTGTCTGAGACTAGCCGAGTTACAATCGTAGCTTCCCCCAGTGGAGTGGTGACGCAGCAAGCACAGCTGACCGACGCAGCATCTGCTCTAGTTGCAGCTCAGGTTCAGCAGCTGACGTGTGATGCTCAGACCCAGGCCCTCGAGCTCCCTGAGCTGCCAGTGAAATGTTCAAACCCACCTCATGAGACTTCAGAAACCAATACAACCAACACCTCCACAACCACCACAGCCAATATTGGAGCAAACCAAGGTAAGTCTGCTAAGGCAACAAGCATCTGGTAAATGACTTCTCAATAGGTTAGTAGTTTTTTTTTATATGCAGCTGTGCAAAGTGGTGAACTTTTACATGTGTAAATCACTTTGCAATCTGTTTTTGTAAGTCATTACAGTGCACTCTTGTGTGTATTATCACCCTAATCTTTAGCCTGTTTCCTGTTTTTATTTCTCTTCCAATGCTGAGCCATATTTCATATGAGCCTTGGTAGAAAGTTTCAGCAGGCTTTTTGATTTTTTTTTGGTTGGAATGATCCAGTCTTCATTCAACATCCAGACACTTGCAGCTCTGGCAATAAATGAGAACCTTGGCTGACTTTCTCACTGAGGAGTGGAGGCTAATTTTACTTAACATGGTTGAGGGCATCTAACTCAGCTTTGACTTGGGATTCAATGTGAGACTCACTGGGTCAGTATGGCCTGCTGTCGCTCAAGTTTTCCTTCTGGAAAGCCCAAATCCTGCAGTAGCGTTTATTAGACTTCCACTGCATCAGACAACATTTTTACAATGGAAGACCAGTTTGTTTTCTTCAGATTTTAGAGCCTCTCACTCATGGTGAAAAAAAACCATTTGTAACCAGTGACGATATTAGTTGCCTACTTGCTGCTGTCCTCATTTGTGTTCACTATTCAGCAGCCGCAGGTATCCACAAAGTGAGAAGCAACTTGTGAACCTACAACAACAAATTGCATTGTTATAGCGCCTTTCACGTAGGGAGGACGTGCCAAGGCCCTGGACAGTCGAGGGTTTGCACCCTCAGTTGAGGGTTCGTTACCTCTAATGGAGGTAGAGGTAACCAAACAACATGCATCAGAAAAATAATTTCCTCAACTCAAACTGGATCCAATGTTAGAAACACAGTTCAGGACCTGTTGTAGGAGTTTAGTTCTGGGAAAAAATATACTTGTGAATTTCCACTTTGTACAGTATTGAAAGTCTGTACATGTGCATGTATAAAACCCAAATTACAAGGTGTTGGAGTAGTTCCGCCCTGAACTGAATGCAGCTCAAATACATCCAGTCTCACTGCTAGTTAATGTTTACTGACCTAACTTTTTTTTTAAAAAAAACCTTACAGTCCAACCTCCACCGACGAATCCTCAAGGCATCCCTGAGAGTGTGCACGGCGAAACCGCAACAGCAGGAACTACCAACACTGCCACAACATCATCCACTGCTCAGAGCGGTGCCGTTACCATGGTAACACAGTCCACTCCCGCACCCGGGCCATCAACGCATGCCGTACAGGTAAGTGGTCGAAAGCAGACGAGCACTTAATCTTGGGGGAAGCACCTGCCTTTTGATCATATCGTTCAAGGGGGGGATATTTCTGAGTGCTGTAGATATTTTTCCCATCGTGCTTGGTTTTTATTTATATATTTCTGAGAAATCCTGGGATCTAGTTACCAGAAAAAAAAAATTTAGTGACTGTAAAAGTAAACTGAAACGTTTTCGCTTGCTTCATTTGTATATAAGGGGAAAAACTTGTATGAGCTTGCTGCATCAGTGCTTGAACCACTTGTCCTTGAGTACCCTGTGGCACTCCCTCAGTATTGGGTGTTTTTTTTGTATTCATTAAAGTGAGAGATGCTGTTTCTGGGAAATGGGAGCACATTTCCACTTAGAATGCCTTGTGTCAGCATCAAGTGTTCACAGTTTAAAACATAGCATGGGGTGAGCAATAAGGTGCCCTAATCTTAATCCTCAAAACACAAACCCTGACCACCAAAGTGATTTTTTTTATTATTTCCTGCATCCACCATCCTTGTAGTCTTTGAGAATGTAGATTTATTGCCGAATCTCATGCACGTTTCTGCTCTGGGAAATGAATAGACAATTTTGGATAATATTTTGTGTTGATCTCTGACAACTAGCAGACATTAATCATTCCATCACACCATGATCTCGGGTATAAAAGGACAGTGTACTATGCCACCCAGTATGTCGCCTCCCCCAGTTCATCTTGTGTCCTATTTAAATGATGACGGCTTTATTTTAAATCTGGAAATTGTTCCTTATTCTGAGAGCTTTCTTGAAGCACTTCATTTGGTTATAGCTTACGTCCTACTGCTAACTGTTCTGTTTGTTGGTTGTCTCACAATTGCGGTTTCCTTAACTGCTAAACTTCTAATGTTTGTGTTGTGCAACAATACGATTTGTGCCAGCTTGCTTCTGTTCCACACAAAGCTCACTACAGATCACCCGGGCAAGTGGCTGAAATCCAAAGTAACTTTTCGTTGCGTAGCTGGGCAGCAATTTCAAGTAGATTCTATCTATTTATATTTCTGCTTTTCTGTGTTGTGAGTTTTGGAACTTCACAATGAAGCACAACTGAAGATAACCCTTTGGCCCATTTAATCTCATCCTTCCAGAATCCCCTCCCAAAGGTCTTTCCCATTACAGCATCAATTAGTTTTTTTTAGGTTTATAACTTTACGAATCCTCCGAGGTACCTTCGAGACAGAAGGAGGAGCAATTAGGAACCATTTGTTAAGCCACAACTCTTTAATCACCAGGAAGTGTCTTAACAACAACTTGCATTTATATAGTGCCCTTCATGTGGGGTAGTGTCCTGGAGCTCTCTTCTGCAATATGTTAACTGTATGGTGACATTCTGCTGGCTAATGCTCATAATGTGGACACAGAGACATCATTAAAGCCTTATAATAAAAAGAGAATACTAAAAATTCAGAGTAAACTAATCTGAATTGTATGAGAAAAATAAGTTAATATTTCAGATCTTCATCTGATCTGAAAGCAAGTTTTGATATTTAGAGCATCTGCAGCTTTTTAAATTTCATTAATGACCGGAATTAATTTCTCTCACCTCAGGTTGTCCCAACAACAGAAGCAGGTGCACAACCTGCTAATGGCGGAGAAGCTTCCACATCCACAGCAGAACAGAGCGATGGGCAGACTCTTCCTACCAGCTCCTCAGGTGCTGTGGCTGAAGCCATGTTGGCTGCTCCAGTGACTGTAGAACCCAGCCAGGACGCGAGTTGTCCCAACGCAAGCCAGGAAACGCTGCCGCCTCAGCCCAGTGTTGTCCTACAGCAAGAGCAGCTCCTGCCCCCGCGGGAGCTTCTGGCAGACAGCAGGCCTGAGAACCTGGCTGAGATGGGGCTGTCTCCCGAGGAGCTGGCTGTCGCCGCGGCTGCTGAGGAGGCTGCTCGATCGGCAGCTCTGGAGGAAGAGGCGAAGGCAGTGGCTGCAACCACAGCTGCTGTTCAGGCAGCCTTGGAAGCCAAGGAGCCTCCGGTTACAGGTAGGTTTACAATAACAACTTGTATTTGTTTCGCACCTTTCATGTTTACAGCATGTCTATTAAACTAGTGCAATACCGGACTTCCAACACCTTACACAAACAGCTCTCTGAAACACAAAATAGCAAGCTTAAAAGAATCTCAAACGTTTCCCTTGCCTTTTATACAAGCAGCCAATCTGCCTGCAATTTCCAAGACTGTGTTGTGCTTTACAACAATCTGCCAGCTTGTGGGAAGCTGGGATGTAAGTCAATGAAAGATGGGGGAGGTGGGGGTGGAAACAGAGGCTAAATGTTAATTACAATGCAAGGCTTCCAAGACAGACAACGAATGTAATTTGCACGCTTTGTTGAACCCAAGTCCCAATGGATGGACTCTGTAGGAGTTAGTGGTACTAAACTGTAGTAATTGATTTTTTTTTCTTTACGCCACGCTAAATACCAGCAGGTGCAGTGCGAGAAAGCTGAGTATGGTCCCAGTCTGCCCTTCCAATCTCAGTAAAACTGACATTGTATTTATTGAATGTTTTTGATAGCAATTTTTCCTAAATCATAGAATATTACGGCAAAAGAAGGAGGCCATTCGGCCCATCGTGCCTATGCCAGCTCTTTGCAAGAAGTATCCAATCAGTCCCACTCCCCCGTTCTCTCCCCATATCCTTGCAATTTTTTCCTTTTCAAGCACCTATCTAATTCCCTTTTGAAAGACGTTATTGAATCTGTTAAAGAAATACATTTCTGGTTCTACCCAAGTTTTATTGCTGTAAAATCTGCTTTTAAAACTCCAGTTCCATTCTAACTTCTTCTCCCGCCTTTAACGTCTAGCAGGAGAAGAGCCAATGGATACATCAGCAGCTGATCTAGCGACTATACAGCCAGTGCAGCTCTCCCAACAGGCTTTGCAGACGCTCGTTGCCCTGCACCCTATTGTACCGTTGGCTGAACTTGCCCAGCAGGACATTGAAAGAGCCAATCAGCAGCAGGTTGCTGACAGTAGCCAGCCATCACGGCCACCAGAGGCATTGGCACCAGCGGACAGTCTCAACGATTCCATCTCGGAGACGAACGGGCCCCATGAGCTGGCCAGCACAGTCCCGACTGTCCAGGTTCCTGTTTCAAAGAGCACAACAGAAGGTACGCTTTTGCGGAAACTAACTGGAGGATAGAAGCTCGTGTCGAGAACTCCTGATCAGAATAGAAACAAAACCAAGATATTAATCCTGTCGATTTAATTTCTCCTTTCTCCCACTTCACCCCCAAACCACAGCAAAACTCTGCTGTAACTGCACTGAGGTTGATCAACAATCTACCCATTACTGTTTGGAGAACTGAACAGTCTAGAAGTTTTTCTGTTCTATATGGTTAGCATTCTTCTGTGCATTACCCATAAGGTATTGGAAGCCCATGGTTGGTTTCACCCCCACCTCCCCCTCCCCCCAGCAGCATGACCAAGATCCTTATCCCATGCTCCCACCACTTTATATGAGCAGAAAGTGAAATGAGGATTATAAATAATCCTTGCACTTCATGTCAGGAGGATGTCTCAAAACGCTTCACAGGACCGCAGTGAAGATGAATTTTGTAGGTGATTATAGAGGAATTTACCTGCATTTATTTTTCTTTATTTTTATATATATATATATGTGTGTGTGTGTGTGTGTGTGTGTATATATATATATATATCCTTCCAACTCACTTACAGTTTGAAATGAAATGCCTTTGCAAAACGGTTGTGTATATAATCTCTTGGGATTGATACATTTTGATTATAGCATGCTAATCATGTGGAGCAAAGGAATCTTGCAATATGTAGGCTGCTTTATCTACAGTGATGTAATACATAAACTTTAACATTAACCTTATACAGTGCAAGGGGCTACTGAGGGGAGGTGTAATTCACAAACTTTTGTGTGTTTTAAATGTAGGTTTGTACACTGCTCTGTTGACTCCCTCGACCACCCCAGTCTCCAGTCCTATGAAACTGCAGGCGGCCACCACTTTAGCCCAAGTAGCAAATGGAATTGGCGCTCCTCTCATGGTACGTATTTGTGTGATTAGGTTTGATCTTGTTCCTAATGTGTAGAGTGTGTATTGATCATACAAATGATGTTGCAGATTTCTAAATCGAAGCACAGATTTTTCATCCTTTGTATGAGGATATATCTTAAAGACTATTTCTGCACTGTTGGTTCTTAATTTAAATTTTGCTTTAGATTAATTGAAAGGTTGGGCTATTTTCATGTTTCTGTTTTTTTTAAAAAAAAATACAACTTTGCCCAAGAGCTGCTTATGGCCTGGATAAAAAGATCTTAATATATGGTTCACTTCATCCAGGCTGTCTGATTTATAACTAAATAAACAAGTGAACCTGGAGTTGTGGGCTTCCAAACCTAGTGTGATAATTAGTTTAAGTAGATTTGTCTTTAGTTTGAGTGGGATCACTTATTGTTTAATACAATGTAAAAATGCAAGACCATTTGTAATGTTGACAAAAAAGCATTATTGATTGCCTGTCATTTGAGTTGGAGAAAGCTTCTTTGTATGGAATAGACGCTTTATGGAAGCTGGACAGATGCTGATCAATTGTTCATTTTCAACAAGTGTCTAGTGACCAGGCTATCTCTATCATAGAGTTTGTCCTCATCTGATTTATAGCTGATTATGTAGTTCCTTGGGGAAATTATGAAGAGAATTAAAGTGAAATAATGTTTGATAATCTGCACAAGAAGAGAATTCCCAAGAGACAGCACCAGCTTGGATTATGTGATACTATAAAACAAAATGCTGAGTTTTTACTACTGGGAGCTTGGGAGATTGTCTACCTTGAAGCTTATATCCTCAGTTTGTGAAAATCGCAGCATTGAACGATACTTCACCTAGTTTTCGATTCCCTCCTAGAAACGTTGAAACAGTAGTATTCAGACCCTTAAACCTGTTCCGCCATTCTGTAGGATCGTGGCTGATCTGTACCTCAACTCCAATGACCCGCCCTTGCCCCATATCCCTTAATACCCTGACCTAACAAATATCTCTCAACCTCCTAGAACTGAGGTCACGAAAGATTGCTTTACATAAAGTGGTGTGAAGATGTGGAATAGTCTCACAAAAAGCTGCAGACGTGCAGGGATGCTTAAACAAGAGAAACCGATTTTAATGTAGTTCTTAAAAAAAATTGCAAAATTAGGGCTGCATTTAAGAATTTGTCAAATTTTGGATGCCCTGAAATTAGAGTGAATCTTGACCCAAATGACGTCTCTATCCAAGTATTACAAAAGTGGGATGACAATATTATCAAAACAGCACTGGAGAAACGGCAATCTCTTGGTTCTTAATCTCATCCCCACTTTGTGTTACTTACCTACATTGATGTGTAGCTTAGTCGTGTTTTTTTTTCCCCTTTGCGTACATTGTGTTTTCCACAAAACTTATTTGTAAAATATTTACTATTTAGAAGCCGGAGGCATCCAGTACACAGCCAAAGCCACTAGTGAAGAAGGAGATCAATCAGTGGTATGATGTTGGTGTGTTTAAAACAACAAGCACTGTAGTGCTGTCCTACTTTCTGCCTTCCGAGGGCTCCCAAGGAGAAGAGGTGAGATAATAAATGGTGTAGAATCCGATTGTGTTGCTAATGTGAAATGTGTTGATCATCATAAATCGTACGCACCTGATATAATGCCTAAAACCTCAATTGTTCATTGCTTCAAGGGTGTACTTAATTGGAATGCCTGTATTTTTGTAGAAAGCGGCCAGCCAATTTGCATACAAACATTGAAGGAAGTGAATGACCAATTTATTAAAGTGATTGTTGGCCAAGATACTTGGAGATACTCTCTCTCTATCGAACAGTGTCTTTATTGTCCACCTGAACTAGCAGAATAGCAGCTTGCATTTTTAAAGTAATAGAAGAGTGCTGGTGCCAGTATAACATTATACAATCTGTCTTCATTGGAGATGGATTTACGAATCCATTTTCTGACTTCATCTCAACTTTATGAATATTACAAATTGACAGTGAACTTGTTGCCTTTGGTTGGTTCTGTTCCTGTAACACACTATTAATGTATTCAATAGTAGTGGTATTTACAGTACCTGGAATTGGCTGATATATTTTGTTTCCCTCCTCTTGCTTGGCAGGACGTCAGTAAGGATGGCATTCCTGACCACAGTAACCTGAAGAGCGTGAAGCTGCAGCCAGGCACTGCCTATAAATTCCGAGTGGCCGGTATAAATGCTTGTGGTCGGGGTCCTTACAGTGATATCTCGGCCTTTAAAACCTGTATGCCTGGCTTCCCGGGAGCACCATCTGCCATCAAAATCAGCAAGGCAAGTGACTGGGTTTACCCGTGGCAAGGCTGAGCTATAAACCTGAATTTAAAACAGTTGTTGAGTAACATTAAATTCTTCTTTCATTTGCCGTTGATATAAATGCAACCCAGTGGGAGTTAGCAGCAAATTCAGTAGAGAATGAGGGAACCAGTTGGTTGTTATTGATTATGAGGGGTATGAATAGGTCAGGATGTTTTCTTAAAACTTTCAAACCAGTTGGGTGGGCTGTAAGGATCATTTTCAGTCCCATGTGTTCCTTTCACTAAGAGTAGGAAATTTGAGTTTGTACTGATTTTTTTTAAAAAGCAGTAATTTGAAGCGCTCTGAGACACCGTCTGGTGTGGAGGGCGCTATATAAATCCAAGTTGTTGTTGTGATTTGCTGTCTAAAGAATTCATGGAAGCAACCTTGAAATAAAATGAATCTTATTACTGGACATTTACAACCAAATGTTAGTACTCTTGTCGGCTGCTTTTTAAAGACTCTTTAAAACATTCATTATTTGTCCCGCTTTAGAGGTGAAAAACATTTTCTAGGTGAATGTGGTGATGGTGTGTTTGCAGAAGATTTATATCCACTTATCTATCTCGTAGGTTCCTGAAGGTGCTCAACTCTCCTGGGAGCCTCCGGCTGTGACATCCGGAACTATTACCGAGTACTCGGTATATTTGGCCCTTCCAGGGTCTCAGGTAGCAGATGCCAAACCCGTGGGGACGTCCCATCTGCTTTTTGTACGTGTTTACTGTGGACCAGTTCCGAGCTGCCTGGTGTCTTCAACCAACCTAGCAAATGCACATATCGATACCACCACAAAGCCTGCAATAATCTTCAGGATAGCGGCCAAGAACGAAAAGGGCTACGGGCCAGCCACCCAGGTCAGGTGGCTGCAAGGTAAGACAGCATATCTAATATTGCTATTCTCTCTCTATAAATGTACAATGACGCTTGAGTATTGTGTAGAGTCTTGTATGATGAATTGCTTTGAGGTACAGTGACTCACAGCAACTACTGTAATCTATGGCTAGCATTATCCCCGAAACAACTATCTGCAGTTTTATTAGGGGAATGAAATTTGGATGAGGGGGTATACTGACCTGCAACCATGGAGAACTTACCTTTGAGGTGATATTGTGGAATTGTTGACTTACCGGGACAGCAGATAGCTTTAATATTTAATCTGAAGGGGCGCAGTTTAGTCAAATCTAGCATTTGTGTCAGTCTAGATTGAGCTCCAGTTGTTTAGAGCCATATTTTGAGATATCATCCACAGATATATTGCCCTTTGTAAAGTTGTAGTCCAAGAATGCAAGGGAGCTAAAGTTTTGTCCACAATATCGGTTAATATTCTCTGTGTGAATTCAGCGTCTCACACCTCGTCAGACTCAATGACTCAGTCACAGTTTGACACCAGGCTTTGTGGCGGTTTAAAGAAGAAACATTTCAGCAGAGAAGTTAGAAGTCATTGTACATTAAGATTTTTGCATTTTCAATACCTGACGAAAGTTTTAGGCATTGCCTCCTGCTTTCTCAGATTAAATTGCATTTATCTGAACATTTTAGTTAATGATATAAGTAATATGTTTTGCTAATTAATTCTTCTCATTTTTAGTCCAATTCATTGGCCTTAATTCCCTAGCTCGTATCCTGTAAGATTATAGAAGGTTTAACTGCACGTTTCTTTGTCCAACGTTAAATGTTCTTTTGTTTGGCTTTTTATAAATTATTCAGTGCTGTGGGTGACCTCTAGGGGAAGAGAGTGTGATTACACGGCTGACAGTGTTTTTGGTGCTGAATGTAAAGGGGAATGAGCTGATCTTTTGACTTGCTTTACCTTCCCTTTTTAGATGGAGCGAAGCCTGCCACTAAGCGACCGGTTGCCTCCCCTGATGAGTAAGTATTCAAGTTAGATTGTGAAACCAGCACAATAGGATCCTCGTTCCTGAGACAAGTTCATTGGGGCCGCCAGGTGGAACGCCAGAGAGTGGCAGGACATGATCTTAAGTCTACCCCACTTACCAGTTGTGCTTCATAGGGAGGAAGCCAACGTAAGCCAGATGCCTCGCTCTGCAGAAGGTAGAGGTGGAAATGTCTTCACCCATATATCTCGAGCCGGCCACAAGTGGCATTGCTGGTAACCTGGTGTGCAAATGTTTGTCACATTCAAAATGTTACCGTTTTTATTCTGCCAGTGTTAAATCAATAAATCTTTTTTTTAAACCAAAAAAGTTCCACATTTTGAATGTCATTCCTGGGGAATTTCCACATTTACCAGTGTCCACATTTACCAGTGTCGGCATCAAGACTTCCCACTTTAATGATGAGCGCGATGCAGCTCCCTTTGCTTTTTCCCAAAACAAAATGTGTTATTAATAGCTAATAATAATCCGACAACACAAGCTCAGAGTTCCCAACACAGGACTTTAATTCAAACCTTTTGACCCCAAAGGGAAGAGTGCTACCAACTGAACCAAACTGACACCTAATCTCAGACGAGACCTCCACAATATCATTATCCACCTCACATACTTCGCACCCTCTGAACAAGATTTGATTCATGTCATAGTGGGGAGTATTGCAATTGCATGGTTAAGAACTTGCGGTGTCTTGTAGCTCAGTGGTTAGAACACTTGGCTCGCAAGCGAGAGCACCTGGGTTCGATTCCCGACCAGGGCAAATCTTTGAGCAAGTTTCCTTAACTCCGCACGCCTCTGTTTATGCAGCAGTAAGTAGGAGCCCGGTTGTTAGTCAATTGGCGGATTGCATTTCCGGGGGTAATAATCCCTTTTTTAAAAAAAAACACTTGGTGACTCAATCCATGACTGTTTGTGGGACACTGCTGTACCAGTTGGCTGCTGCGTTTTGCCCACAAAATATACAGTCACTACACTTTATAGTATATTCTGTGAAGTGCTTTGAGACGTCTTGAAGACGTCTCAAAGCTGTATCAAATGCAAGAATTATTATTATTACTTTGGCTGGATTCATACTTGGGTCCCAGAGGATTAAGGACCGTGTTTAAATCATTAGCTTCCTTGGTAACGTTAAGCAAAATAAAAATGTATTTTTTTTAAAAAAGTTTCACGAGATTAACAGGTTTTCTTTTTCTCATTGTGAACAGAAAATTAAGTGTGAACAAGAAGCCCAAGGCAGATGGATCCTAATTCCTGAGTGCATTGTGAACAATCCCACGTGCATTGTGAACAATCGCCTTTTCTAGGAGCAGTGAGAAGAGTGAACTAAACCTGGTTTAGAATGCACCTTTGTACACTGATGTACCAGAGCGGCATTCTGCATTTTAAACTACTCAAGCTCGCAACGAAAAAAACACTTTACTCAAATGATTTTTCCATTCGTGTACAAAAAGGAAAAAAAAACGACTGAGGATTTTAATTAGAAGAATCCTGCCCTTTTTTTATTACTGCTTAAGGGGACAGAATTTCAATTGGATGTACCTGCAGTGAACTGATGGTATTATTGAAGGAAATGCCCTCTCATTTTGAAGTGCATTTTTTTTTTGCCAAATGGTCGCAACAGCCACACAAAGAATTTTACACCTGTGTTGCAAAAAGAGTAGGGATTTTTTTTTCCTCTTAATCCTAGACAAGCCCCTATTTGAGAGTAGAGATGGAAGATGATCTGGGAGTGCATTTACGCAATTGTGGCTTTTCTTGCTGGGATAGTACGCTTTGACCGACCAGAAGATGGGACCTTGTGATCAAACGCGGTCTGTGAAAAGTACTTTGAGCGCCTGGGTTTTTTCTTCTTGCTTCTTGGGACGGTGAAAATTATTGCAGACGACTTGCTTTTGATATTATAGGAAAAAAGCTTGGGGTGGCATTTCACTTTTTCCTTTTTTTCTTTTCCCATTTCTCAATGAGTAGGAGAAATTCTGCCCTAGAATACTTAGCGGAAAGCTATCAGAGACTATCCCTATATATTAAGCACTTGTTTCTGTTTTCTTATCTTGTTTGGTAAGAGACTAGTTTAAACAACAGTTTATTTTTCCCCTCGTAGTTTTGTAGAGGAACTCGTATATGTCCTGTTGCATATTCATGCTCGCTATGAATAATTGTGAATACTATTTAAGGTTCTAGACTGGGAGACTTTGTGTAAACTTGTTCTGTGCCATTTCATCACCGTTTTACATGTGTGAAACGTCCAGTGTTTGCCTGTGTGCTTGTATGCAGCAGGGATGGTGCTCGACTATGTTTTAGAGAGAGAGAAGTTTGGGTTTTTTATTAGAATGGTGGTAGGTCATGGAGCTCATTGACAACATTGGGGGATGTTCTGTTGGGTCAGGTGGGGAAATAGTTCAATGGGAAGCAGAGCTGATGTTTTTGTAAGGGGAAGGGGGGATGGTGGGATAAAGTGATAAACCTTTTAATACAGTTTGTAAAGTTTTTGTAGAATGTTGAATTGCCCAGGTTTGCCGATGTGATGACATATGTCGGGAGAAGAGAGCAAGTCAGACTTGCACAACTCCCCCTCCCACCCCCCATCATCCATCCCTCACCTTGAGTTCCGAGGCAAACTAAGTGGCAATGAATCTTTGACTGAGGAAAGGTTAGAATATACCGCAGTTCTCTTACCAAACTTTTTACTTCACGTAAGATGTCTCCCTCCCCAATTAATAACCCTTGTTTGAATTCTTGGTTTGATGGTTATTAACCTTTGACGATGAGTGTTGACAGGCTGTTCATCCTTGAGCACATCATAGCTGAGCCTGACTTTGCACAGTGAATGTACGTGTACTTTCCAGCAAAAGCCATTGGATAGTGTTCAGCGGGCAACTAGAACCTCTGCTCTGCCCCACCTGAGATCAGGTAACTCAGAACAGACCTGAAACTGCAACTTTCCTGGTAATGGCTCAGTACTGTCTGGGACAGTGCCTTTACCAAGAGCTTTGGGGGGAGCTGTCGGAAAGTTGTTAATGAAAACTATTTTATCTTTCTATCTCCAGCTCTTTCTTTTTCTCCTTTTGCCCTCTCCCCAATTTCCACATGTGGTTGGATATTTTATGTTCGTAGATGTTTCTACGTAGAATGTCGATGTTTGTCACTGGTCCTTGAACCTGCACAGTATGTTTTTCTAATAAATAAATATTAATTTTTGTCAAACATCCAGAGGCAAAAATAACCCATGATCTAAACTCAAGCTGGTTGAATTAGCTTTTAACGATGAACTTGGGGGGGCTTATCCATACATGTTACCAGTGCTGTTTTTTAAAAAAAATGAGTGCAATCTGCACTGTAGCAGATCTGAGCAATCACAGCCACAAAGTTGTGGCCATTTTGCTTTGGGTTCTTGGTCTCTTTGGAGCAGCCTGTCATCCAGTGAGTAGACTGGATCCCAGCACATAATGGAGGAGCTTAGTGCAACCCATTCCTTATGGAAGGTTTCCTGTAGTGAAACCAGTTCTATTTGCACACTGGGGCACAGCAAACATCATCAGTCACTAACTCATTGGGATAGACGCAGGGAGTTCCAGAGGTTGGCATAATGCCCTATTCCTAAGGATGGTTGGTATTTTACTGTTAGTTTTAATTCTTTTGTGGACAGAGCAGATCTTGATTTTATTCTTGAATCTGAATTAAACTTGAGTGTAATTTGCTTTGAAACAGGCAAAATTAGTGGTAAGTATTTAGCTCTCTTTTCCCTCCCTCTCTTACCCTACCCCACTCCCCCTTCACTTTTTCCAATGATTTAAAGATTTGCAAGCCTTTTATTCAAAACTGCTTTCTCAGCTTCCAGCCTCTCTCCAGATAGGACATCTCAATGGGCAGAGCAACGCCTGCCTGGTATTTTAGTCAGTGCATGAAGAACTATACATGCACTGGTCCTTTAAAAGTCAGCGACCTGCAGTTTTTCCCTTGAAAGAAATTGCTTCCCATGTAAGCATTATATGGGGAGGAGACAAAATGAGTTAGGAAATATTTCACAATTTTTTTTCTCAAAAGATTTATATGTGGGATGTCGATCTGATTTCATAACTTCAAATTTGTACATACACAGAATTTTTTTTATTCTGGATCCAATGTATTTAACGTCTCGGAGTTTGAAGGTCATTCTCTGGGTCGTACACCGAAAGGCCTAGGTTACGTTTTAACCAATAAGACATGCGTTACCTTTTTTTAAAAATGGACAACCAGTCTTTTGGGAAAATTTTTGACAACTGTTGGACTGTGTACGGATGTCCTAAATTAAGCAAAGGCCTGAAATTTGGCTAGTTATTTTGTAAAATTGTGTACAGCTTGAATAGAAGTGTGCTAATGTTCTAAAAAAAAGTTTTTTGTATAGTTTCTACATGTTAAAAAAAAAAGCGCTTAGTTTAGAATTTACTCTCTAGAATTTAGACTTTTCTTCCACCCTTCGTAGATCTGAATTGTGTATTTAACGATGTTCTCCCAGTGTAATGTTAGTACCATTTATATGTCCATCTGCTGCTTTGAACAGTTGTAATGAATTTATATTTTTTGGATTTCAAAACAAAACATTGTCCATTGTAGAAAAGTCAAACTATAAAATCATTTTGCTACCTTTATGTGCTTTTTTTTGAATAAAATCTTTTTTGAATAAATGTTTTTTTATTTTAAACCATTACCCCTTTATGTCTCTTCCATCTAATCTCTTCGTTCGCGTGAATGGATTTCAGAAATTTACTCTAAGCTCAAAACAGCTGCAAAGCAAATGGAGATTTCAAAGCAGCTACTGATATCCCAGGTTATGTATGTCTCCTGCATTCACTGATCTTGGTTGTGCAGCTACAGTTGATTGTATTTAGTTGAGAGAGGGAAAAAATCAGCCAGGATTCCTTCTGCTCATCATCCAGTAACCTTTGCTGGAAAGCGCATGGGTGTGGATGGCATACGAATAATGCTGTGTTTAGCTCCACACTCACATAATCTTATTAGCTTAATAATCCTTGCATTTGGTGTAGCGTCTTTCACGGCCAGAGGACAAACTTTCCTCTTCTTAACATTCATTGACAATTTGGATGGGGTGCCAGAGTGTAGCAGTTTCCTATGAAACCGTCTCCCAGCAACCGTTGGTGCTTTTAGGGGAGAAAAATGGACAGTGTACAAAAACATGAAAGTATTTAAATCAGTATGAGACTCTTGTATGTGGCTACTTTATAAGAAGTGACAAATCGTGCAGCTCAAGCGAAGTAAGGGCTCACCACCTTCTCTGAAGGTCGATGCAAGTGATGTTTATAAGCAAAAACTCACTCCACCGAAGTCAATGTTACTGAAATGGATGAAATTTGCTCTTGCTTCTTGATAGGAACAATTTCCGATTTGATCTGCTGTGCGCAAAGACCCTGAGAAAGAATTCTTGCATCTCCTGCCAGAGATTGTATTGAGCAAGTAATCATTCGATGTTTGAGCCCAAGCTGACAATTCCACTCTTAACAGGATATGTTTTTAGCACTCAATAGCAATCGAGGACTAACCGATTCAAATAAACCCAACGACCGCAAATCATGGTACACAGTACTTCAACTCGGTTACCTAGTCTTTTGGGGGAAATCTGTTAAGGTGAGTGATTTGAGTGCTGGGAAGAGTGCAGTTACCAAAAATGGATCACTTAGAGTCGAGTTGGCTGCAAGGTAAACTTCTCCATTGCCTTCCCCAACATGCAACATTGCACCTCACAGATGCTGCATCAATGTCAAATTTTCTTAACACGTAGTCTTGGTGAGATTGCCTTGTGTTATTGTGACCCTATGTAAAAGGAACTAGGTTTAGGAAGCTTTCAGCCATTTTGATTAGCATTCTTAGTCTCTTGAGAGCAGACTGCCATCCAATGAGTCTGGATACAAGCCCAATACACACAATGGAGCAGTCTAGTGGAACCCATTGCTTATTGAAGGTTTCTTGTCATGAAACCACTTCTATTCACACATTGGGGCATAACATACAGCAGCGATCAGTGACTCAGTGGGATAGAAGCAGGGAATTCCAGAAGTCTCGTGCCATCATCTGGGTGAGGCACTTAAATCTAAATGGGTGGATTTAAGAAATTCATCTTGTTTGTACATGACAGTCTGCCAACTCAACCGAATGTTTTTAAAGTGAAAAAGTATTTGTGAAAATATGACTCGACTACAGTTCACGATCCTGGTCCTCGCCTTCAAAACCTTCCATGGTCTTGCTTCCCCTTATCTCTGTGACCTCCTAACCCCCTACCAATCTGCCCGCTCCCTCTGCTCAGCAGGCTCCAGCCTGCTTCACGTCCCCTGCCTCGCCCGCCCCACCATTGGCGGGTGAGCCTTCAGCCACTCTACCCCCACCCTCTGGAACTCCATCATGTAGTCCCTTCCTTCAAGACCCTCCTCTTCGAACGTGCTTTTGAGTTCAAAAAGTCCTGGTATGGGGCTTGATCTTAGGTGATAATGCTACCAATTGAGTCAAGATTATTGCATCAAAATACAAAGTAACCTAAATATAGCAAATGGTATACAGGCAAATCCACAAACAACAATGAGAGAATTGACCAGTTAAATTGGGGGAGGGGTGGGGGGGGGGAGAGAAAATATTATTCAGGCAACCAACTTGGATTGACATCTCTGAACAATGCAGCTCTCTTAATATCTGACGTTGCAGTGTTAGCCTAAACTATAATTTCTGATCTAGAGAAGGGGCTTCAAACCCCACAATTTTCAGACCCAGCGGTTTGAATATTAACAACTGAGCCAAATGTAATGCAGCTGCAGTCCCCATTACTATAATAGCATTTAACCTACCGGTTAGGACTTTTTTTCAATAGAGAAGAGACATTTAAGGGGGAGACCTAATAGAAGTGTTTACAATTAGAAAGGGGTTTAATAAGGTTGTTGATAAAGTTTAGAATAAATAAAAAAAAATTAAAAAATCCTTGCATTTGATATAGCGCTTTTCACGTCAGGAGGATGTCCCAAAGCGCTTCACAGAACACACTGTGAAGTGAATTGACTGTATATTTGTGGGCGAACGCGGCAGCCAATTGCGCACAGCAATGTCCCACAAACAGTCGTAGATAGGATATTTCCACTGGTTAGGGAGTCTGCAACAACAGCAACTCGGGGATCTAAAAGAGAATTTAGGAGGAACTACTTCACACAAACGGTAGTGAGATTGTGGAATTCGCAATCTGATGTGGTGGTTGAATCAGACAGTATAGGTATGTTCAAGAGGAAGCTGGACCTTCACAGGAGGGAGAGGGGACTAGAAGGGTATGGGAAGGAGTAAGAAATGGGTGAAGACTTGTGTGTTAATATTAGCACAGACCGGTTAGGGTGAGTGGCCTGTTTCCATGGTATATCTTTGTTATAACCACAATAATAGATTGTTTGCAGACATGAGTTTCTATGACTCATGTTTAGCACATGATTCATTCACCTCAAAAAATGACCATCTGACTGCAACAAGACAAAAACAAAGGAACACTCGGAGGAAGAGCACAACACTGGGAAACACATTGCTGTGAGTCTTACATTTCTTTTAAAAAAAGGGAACTGAATGTTTCTGCGTTTAAATACAGTGAGTGCACGGCGTTCAAGTTTGCTGAGTTAGCTATGACAGCAGTAAAGTCTTAAAATTAGCCTCATCTCTCCAAGGGCAAAAGATCACCAAGTCCCTAATTGCTATCCAGTGATCCCTGTTGTAAAGTGTTCGGGTGTGGATGCCAGGTCATAAACAGGATCATATTAATAACAATCCTTATATTTGATACAGCATCAGGACATCTCAAAGTGCTTCACATGATATGCTGTAAAGCGTAGTGACTATGTATTGTGTAGGAAACCACGGCAGCCAATTTTGCACACAGCAGAGTCCCACAAACAGCCAATTTTATTTGGAGGGTTGTTAAGCCAGGACACGGGGAGAAATTCCCTTCTCTTTTGAAACAGTGTCATGAGATCTTTAACATTTACCTCAACAAGTAGACGGGACCTTGGTTTAATGTCTCATCTGCAGAAAAGCGTCTCTAATAATGAAGCACTGTATTGCAGTGTGAGTCTCCACATGGGGCTTGAACCCACAACCTTCTGACTCAGAAGTGAGAATGCTATCAAGTGAGTCAAGCTGAACCCCAGCGTCTTTGAGCGAAGACATTAGAAGATAGCAAGCATGGATATAGCAAAATGTGAAAAATGATCATTCAGCCTATAAACCCCACACCTTCTACCAAAACCCTACAATCCTCATTGTCACCACTTATTTGATGTGAGGCAGTAGACTGGTCACAGGGAGAAGACAGGAAAAATATATCAACAGATTGTAAAAGATTGTGGGACAATTTGTTTATTAAAATAAGGATTTAAAAATCAGTAAGCAATCAATCATTTGATTGTTAATTTTGAAGTTATTGATCAAAGAAGGGAAAGGGAATGCAAAAATTATTTCGCCTAAGAAATAGATCGTATGGCTTTACTTATTTCTGGCAATTAAACTGTTTGCTTTTCCTTTCTGATTTGATATCCTACCAATTTCCTGTTGATCCATGCACAAATATCTTGTGTAATCACCAAGTAATTCCCTCCCTTGAAGGCAGTAACTTCCTGTTGATGTTGACAGGCTTAAGCTGTTTCATTCTGTCGTACTTCATCCCAAGTGTCCATTCTTCATGTGTGAGCCAAGCAAACTAACTCTGAAGTGCCGTACTCACCCAACGTCTAAGCATGAAATTATTCCAGTGACAGCAGACGATAATTATCGTGACTAGAATGTTTTAGAGGAATGACCACTGCTGATAGCCAACAGCTGACCAAGGTTGAGCATTCACTTTGTAGCTCCTCTTTTCATTGTTGGGGGATCTGATGTTCATTACACCATATTATAGCTGATTGTAACATTTTTACAATGTCCTATTTCTGGTCAAGGCATTAGATCATTTCCCTCACTGCTGCCTCCAAAATATTTGGACGTTTCATCTGAAGGACAACATCTCTCACAATGCAGCACTCGCACCGTATTGTATATAGCGCCAGATAGACTGTGAGAGTGGTGTACATGTGCGCGGGACACTTAAGTCTGGTTTGGATACTCTTCGTGCAGGGTGATGTATCGTGCACCCAAGCTGATCCTTCTGTGTGTGTGTGTGTAAAAAAAAGCACCTGAGAGTGGTTGACAATTGGGCCAAGAATAAGTGAGTCAGTTCAATGACTCAGCTTTTATCCAGCGAGAGCAGCTGAGAGGCTGGAGTAACGTAGCCAGATTGGGCGGCTTCACGGGAGACTGGGTGCGCTTTTGTGTTGTCAGTTAAAAACATCGTTTGGGTGCCTTTTTAATTAAAAAAAATGAAACCTGCACAACATGTCTTCTCCCCCCCGCGCCCCCCACCCCACGCGCCCTGAAGACCTTTTCTTGCAACGGTTTCCGAAGCGCTAAATCGAAATGGGTCATTCTGCGTCTACCCATAGGAGGCGACGAACAATAATAATAATAATAATAATCCTCGCATTTGATAGAGCGCTTTTCACGTCGGGCGGACGTCCCAAAGCGCTTCACAGAACACACTGTAAAGTGAACTGACTGTATATTTGTGGGCGAACGCGGCAGCCAATTGCGCACAGCAATGTCCCACAAACAGTCGTGGATTGAAAATGACCAATTTCTTATTGTTTTGGTTTTTTTTGGAGGGATTATTATAGGCTCTGTGTGGAGTAAGGAAACTTGCCCGAGGTTTCGCCCTCTGCCTGGAATTGAACTCAGGCCTCTCGCTTGAATGAACGTGGGGCGGCCTTTGGGCTAGTAATTGTAGTGCTTGGGCTACCGAAATATTTCAATTTCTGAGGTCTGCACAGAAACCCCACACTGTGACATTGGCCCCAGGTTTCCAGCTGTGACACCGGGAGGGGGGCGGGACCAGGGGGGAGGGGCAGGGGGCGGGGCTGGAGATTCGACGTCAGCGCGTCAGGGGTGGGTGGGTGACGTCGCCGCCCGTTGTGTGACGCAAGCACGCAGCGGCCGGGTGATAAGCGGCGGCTGAGAAGCGGTGGCAGAACGGGACCTGCGCAGGTGAGAGGAGGAGGAGAGACCGAACCGGGACAGACCGACCGTGATGTCGAGGTCCTGAGGGGAGGGGGAGAGAGAGAGAGAGAGAGAGGCGGTTAGGATCCCGGTGGGAGAGAGTGTGTGTGTGCGCGCGCGGTGAGGCGAGGCCTGGGCCGGTGGCGACCGAGCGACCGAGTGAGTGAGTGAGTGAGGCCGTTGTTCGGGGCCTCGGTGTTGTTTGTGCCGCTCCCCCCCCTCTCCCCCCCCCTCCCGGGCCCTGAGGCGCCGAGTCTCCGTCGCCGAGGCCTGGTTTTGCGGGGTTGGATTTGCGTTGAGAGGCCGCCCGTTGGTGGCTGTCTACCGGCCCGGGGTGGGGTGGGGTGGGGGTGCGGTGGGGGTGGGGATGGCTCCTCTCGTCTCCGTCTCTCTCACTCCCCCCTCCCCCCCCATTTTTTCCCCCCCCTTTCCCCTTCCCCCCCCACCCGCACCCCGCTCTGGCCTGACCCGCCCTCCCCTCTCTCTCTCCCTCCCCTCTCTCTCCCCTCCCCCTCCTCTCCCCCCCCACCCCCTCCCGCTTTCCTGCCCCTCCCCCCCCCCTGATGGTAAATTTATTATTTTTATTATTTTATTTTATTATTTTTTTTAGAAAAAAATATTGTCTTTTGCCTTCGCTTTTATTATTCTGGAGCGCCTTTCACGTCGGGGGAGGGTCGCATCCTCGGGATTGGAGGAGTCGCTGTGAAGTGCAGGACTTCCCTTTTTTTTCTCTCTCTCTCTGTCTCTGTCTCTCGATAAAAAAGTGTGGGGGGGGGGGAGTGGTGTGCGGGTGTGGTGGTGTGTGGGGGGGGGTGTGGGTGGGGGTGTAGTGGTGCGGGGTGGGGGGGTGTAGTGGTGGGGGGTGGGTGTGTGGTGGGGTGTAGTGGTGGGGGTGTGGTGGTGTGTGGGGGGGTGTGGTGGTGTGTGGGGGGGGTGTGGTGGTGTGTGGGGGGGGTGTGGTGGTGTGTGGGGGGTGTGATGGTGTGGGGGGTGTGTGTAGGGGTGGGGGTTGTGGTGGGGTGGGTGGTGGGGGGTGTGCAGTGGTGCGGTGTGGGGGGGGTGTAGTGGGGTGGGGGTTGTGGTGGTGTGGGGGGGTGTGTGTGTGGTGTGGGGGGGGGGTGTGTGTAGTGGTGCAGGGTGGGGGTTGTGATGGTGGGGGGGTGGCACTTGAGGAAATTGGTGCCTTCAACGTGCCTCAAATCCAGTGGAGACGGGGCAGGTTTTGTTTTGGAGTGGCAAAAAAAAATTCCTTGGGGTGTGTGTGTTTTTTATATATATATATATGTATATATATATATATGTGTGTGTGTTCACAACAACTTAATAGTGTAGATGCTATGTGTCAGTTGTTTAGTCACTCATCCTTGAGTCTCCTCCAGCTGGGTGAAGCCACTCACTCACTCATTGGCATTATTGTGTAGGATCGCACTTATGCTGCCAAATATTATTGCTGTACTTCTTGGTGGGTTTTCTTTCAGTGCTTTCACTTTAAGACGTGGAGATGGAAGAGAGGAATATGGACTTGTTTCTCGTAAATTGCCTCGGGCTGAAGGGTGTTGACCGTACAAGTGAAAGTGAAAATATATATATTTTTGTTTAACATTTTAATGAAACTGAATGAGAATTGGAACAACAGCTTATCTTGTCAACCTGGTCATTTGTTATAAGTTGCGCTTGTGTCACGGGGTGTCTTTCTTGTCAGTTTTTTTTTCTTCGAGGGTGAGGCAACTTCTTGGGCACCTCCAACTCAATTGGTTGAAATCCAAACATTTCATGAACTGTTGCTTCACCAGTGGACTGTGATGTGACAGTCAGTCACGCAATACTCTTGCTGAATGATGGACAACTAAATTAGCCAACTGGAAGCTGGCTTGTGGTTAATGGCAATTCCACACTCAATTCATGCCTTCCTCCTTCCCATTAAGACTGGGATGAGGTGGGACTTCCAGACTTGTGTGTAAATAGGATTACACGGTGTTTCCTGACCGATTGCAAACTAACTTGCGCCTCGTGATTCTTGCAGCTGATAAAACGCATGACTTGTCATTAGTCTATGAATAACTAGGTTTGTATGCTGAATGTACGAGCTGATCATTGCAGTTTCACATTGAAGGAGGATGTTTCCTTTGGGAAATATTCTGCTTGTTGCCTCTGAAGAGATTATAACAACAAAAACACTGTAAATTACTGTTCTGGAATTTTAGTTTTTAATGAGTCTTTCTTGCCCATTGTTGTATGCTGTAGAATACAGAATTGAGGATTGAAGTTTTCTGTCTACACTTAACCAAAAAAAATTGTTTAACTTTTTAATTGTGTGATGTGGGATATGCTGCATTTGCCTGTAAATCAGGAAAGAATTGCAGCTCTTGTAATGCAGTTTTTAAAAAAAACTAGTATCATTTTATAGCCCAGGATTGATCGTGGTTTCAGACTGCAGGTCTCCTGCAGCTGTTCATTTAGGGCCTGATCTCCCCGTGGAGGTGTCAACAGGCAGGCTGATTGGCTTGAGTACTTACACTGGCGATGCTGAATTAATTTCTGAGCACTGACATCCCATCCTCCACTGCCCAGGGTAGCTGCCTGACAAAGATGTGAAACCCAGCCCAGTGGGCATTGACATCCTGAAGTGATGTTTGACATTCCCCATGTTCTGTGCCATTGCTATCAAAAGCTATCCTGGCTCTCCAAACTCAATCTTAAATGGTCCTTCTAGGTAACTTGGCTGTAAATGCTTGGCTATTCCTTTCTAATGTAGGTGATTTTTCCAGTTTTAAACTGAAGTGTTCTACATTTCTCTCCGAACTTCTTGGCAATGTGGAGTGTAGATTGAAGGTTATTTAGCTAACTCCAGTATTGCTAACCCTCAATAGTACTAATGTGGTTTGGCTTGTACAGAGAACCTAGGATGTGAGCCATGGGGAATACTGTTTGGTGCAGTGGAAAATGTTATTTCTGAGGTTGAGCTGCAGAGCAGAGTTTTATCTATTCTGTGCTGTAACTGATCTAGGAGTAAATATTGCTGTCTCCACTAATGGTGATATCAGTTGCAAAAATCTAAATGTAAAAACTTATGGGATGACAATTGTGAAGAATTGGCACCAACATTGCAAATCGTGTAATCTCACTGCATCGTTTGTTTTGTCAATGTCCATTTGATATTGACAATTGTTGTGCATCTTTAATGTTAAATCTCAGTGTACAGGAATGTCTGCATCTCGGTTATGGGCAGGTCCATCCTTGGTGTGGTACCATGTTTGGCAGTACAACAACTTGCATTTATGTAGCGCCATTCATGCGGGATAGTGTTCACAGTGACTGAGTCTGACAATGAGAAAAGCAACCGTAGTCTTCCAATACTTCATTTCAGTGGCTGTTTTCACCCTAGTCTTGAAGGTATTATGGGCTCTGCGAATGGGACCATTTGTTCCTGACCCTGTCGTGGTTAGTGTGGGCACCTGAGCTTTGGGACCTGCCTCCCAGGTAAATGGAACAGGCTCCTCCACATCACTGTATGGGCCAGCATTAGCACCAATTCCATTTAAACTGTTCAGTAATCAAAGGGCCGTCACATGGCACTTCTCTGAACCATGCTCTGCATCTTTTTACTGTTGATTGATTTTTAAGTGAGGCATACTGACATCACTGTCCATTGTCTAAAGGATCTGATAAAAATTCACCAATTGCCAAGCATTTGTGCATTTTTTATTAATTCCCGGATTATTACAGTACTAGATTTCCTGTTGTTAGGTCGTCTACATTATCTGGGAGCATATTCCTACATTCATAGAGGGGAAAGAAAACTAAATTTATTCTGTCAGGATAATTTCTTCCTGCCTACAATCCATTACATGGTCCAACATGGGCACTTGACGGGAGGGGTGAGGAAGCAGGTTCAAGAAATCTTAAGGAAGGCTTTAAAAGTATGGGGGGGTTGGGTGAATTGAAGGGACTCCAGGATGAAGGACGGACCGGCTGAAACTAACCTGCTCATGGTGGGGTGTGTGGTGTCGAGGACACAAAGCAGACTCGTGTGTTTGCTGAGTGGAGGTTGTGGCCAGCTCAGTTGGTTTGAAGAGGTTGTAAAGGTGGGGTGAAGTTGTGGAGGGATTTGAATATGAAGATGAGAATCTTGAATTTGGTCTGCTAGCAAACTGATTACTACTGACCTGTTGAGAATATTTGCGAGTATGTTTGTTTGGTCTCTTAACATTACTCTGTAGCTTCAGACTAAGGCACTTATGTAAAACTAGGTTTGAGAGGTGAAAGGCATCGCTTGGAGCTTGTAGTTCCTACGTTATTTGCGAGGCTGGGCAATTGTACAGATTGGGCAATTGGGTAAAGTGAGCTGCTACGACTTGACACTTGCTTCACATTAAACTTGAGCATGTCATTCAAAAGAACGTGTGGTTCAATGAGGACCATTTTCATTGAAGGGGGGATTCTGCTGATTCTCAAATGGGGTATCGTAAGCTGCTTATTTTCTCTCTGAAGGTGTTTCACTTGCTGAGATCCAGTTCTGTGGGCTCATGGAGTTTTTTTTAGAGGTTTTCACCTGTGAAACGGGTGATAGATTTCACCTGAATGTGATTGTTTTTTTTCCCCGAGTGGTGTTGTGTGCATGCACAGGGTTGCTAATGATTACAATTGTGCTTTATTATTTATATATTGGCTCACATACTGCCCTAATGCAACCTTTTCTAGTGGTCTCAAACATTGAGAATATTTAATCTCACCCCAAATACAATAGGTAAAAGTAACCTTCTTTCCCTAACTTCTTCCACTAATCTGCATCTGTAACTTGGTAATGCAAATTTGAAGCATTGCAAATATGGATTGTTTCGGAGGTGCTATAAATTAGAACTATAGTTTACAGCACAGATGACCATTTAGCCCATTTCATCTCTGCCAGGCTCCCTCAAAGGTAATCCTTTCAGTCCCAGTAACCTGACTTTTTCCCTCTATCCCTGTAGCTGACTTTTTAAGGTATTGTGTGATCCCTTTTGAAGGCTAATATGGATTTTGTCTTAATCACCATTCCCAGCAGGGTATTCCATATCTTAACTCTGCATGAAAACAATTTTTCCTTGCCTCCAATTTGCTCATTCACTAACTCTTAAATTGATGGCCTCTCGTTACAACAACAAGATTACATTTGTACAACCGCTGCTGGTGGAAATGATTTCTCCCTATTGACTCTATTAAAACCCTTCAGAATTTTAAAGACCCATCGGAGCACTCCTCGACCATTGTTCTAGTGGAAAATGTCACAGTTCTACAGTCTGCTCATAGGCCAAACCACTCATCCCTAGTATCATCCAAGTAAACCTCCTCTGCACCTTCTCTATCATTTTGGTGTCGTTCCTAAATGGCGACCAATACTGGACACAATATTCCAACCCTGGTGTAATGATTTCGGTAAAGTTAGCATTATGTTTCACCCACAAAATATACAGTCAATTCACTTTACAGTATATTCTATGAGGTGCTTTGAGACCTCTTGACAATGCGATGAGGCACTATCAAAAATGCAAAGATTATTACCTCTTATTTTTATATTGTATACCCCCGTTTATAAACCTTTAGCTTTGACAGCTGTCCATCTGCCTCCCACCTTCAATGGTTTGTACATTAACCCCCTCCCCAGTCCCTTTGCTCTTCCACTCCTTTTCATTTTTTACTCCTAAAATGTATAACTTTTCATTTTTACCAATTCTCTGACCAATCAATTTGGGAAAGAAGGTTACATTTAACTGCTATATTTGGGGCATTAAATATTTATAAACAATAACTTGCTTACAATCTTCAGTGTTAGCTACACGCCTTATTTTTGTCATCTGCAAACTTAGAAATTGTGCCCCTTATACCGGAATCCCAATTATTTATATAAATGGAGAAAAGCAGTGGTCCTAACTCCGACCCCTGGGGGACACTACTATTTATGTCTCTCCATTGCGCACAGCAACTGTTGTTGCAAAAATCTGTCCAAAACCTCAGGCTTTGTAACAGTGAACTTGTGCTCATGCTAGAAGAGGAAAGAAATAACAATCTTTGCAATTGATATGGCATTTTATTGTGTAGCAATGTCTCAAATCATCACAGGATGTTACTGTCACATGTGGTGATTATTTGTAGGTGTACTTCCACAATATTTTGAACAAAACTAATTTGTATTAGCACTAACTACTGTACCTTTGGGCTTGTCTGTCTTGTCGGTGTGCATGCTGGAGTGGGAATCTTTCTATTCATTAGGAGCCCGCTCAGGTGTTGGGAAGCCTTTTGATCTTATTTAGATTTTCGGAAATCCCTTCATTGGCTTAATTTTTCTTGTCTTGTTTCACTCGCTGCTGTACTGAATTGCACTCCCCTGACTGTGTGAAGAAGCCATTGGAAGGAAGCCAAAAACATTAGGGAAACCTAGTGGTGTTTGTAGTCGGGTGACCTGGAAATCCCCAGCAGTACCAATCCTTTTCAAAGCACCACTAAAGTGGTGGTGAACAGTCAGTCTGAACTTAAGTGTATGCTAATGTATGCAATTCCAAGCCTTGACAATGTAATTGCCTGTTGTCATGACCACTAAATCTCTACCAATGCAGCTTCCATTGACACCGGCAACTTTAAAAGGCCTATCTACTACATCGGTCATCGGTTGTAAAAGCTGCTTGGTGGTTAATGCAAGCAATTAACTAGCACTTATGGGGAGTGCAGCTGTCTGTCTCTTTACCTAACAGTGCAATAATGCAGTGACGATCCGCACCTATGGATTCAGACAATTATTTTTCACTCATCCAGTAATAATAATCCTTGCATTTGATATAAGCGCCTTATCACGTCTTCTAGACATCTCAAAACGCTTCACAAAATATACTATAAAGTGAATTGACATGTTTTGTGGTAGAAACAGGGCAGTGTATTGTGCACAGCAATAACCCACAAAGTCGTAGATTTAGTGACCAATTTTTTTTAAATAGGTTTAATACCCCCAGAAACATCATTTGCCAATGACTAACTACTAGATTCCTACTTATTATCCAGTATTTCTTATTCCAGTATGGAACAATGCTCCTACAATCTTTCACCAAATAGTTCAGCAAGTTATTTTGGACAGTCTAGATAACTGATTGTCAAACTCGCCCTTGGGTGGTTGGTACACACTGATATTTCATTCAAATCAACCACAAGATTACACTTGTATAGCACCTTTCGCGTCGGGAGGACATCCCAAGGCACTGGAAATATCTGTTCCTGCATCTACCATTTGAATAGTTTTCTTTTCCTCTCTTCCCTTCTCCCCCCCCCATTGTTTTCAATGCAAAACAGCGATTTTTTGCATTGAAATCACTGTTTGAGCTGTGCGTTACTTGTGGTATGTGGCTACAACTTCAAATAATGTGGTTGTCAGAAATGGCATAGATTAGCATGTGCTTCAGACTGTTTGTTTACCCTCACCGTTCGGTATGTTGAGCAGCTTAAAATAACAGCACATATGATTTATGACCAATACCGTTTGTACTGAAGTACTTGGTCTGCTTCATGTCCCCTGTCCTGCCCACCCCAACATCTGCAATTGGGTTTTCAGCCAATCTGCCCTCACTCTCCAGAACTCCATCCCTCAACCCCTTCAGGGTTCATCTCGAGACCCTCCTCTTCGACCATGCCTTCAATATCTTTCAAACCCTCAGCTTGGGTGCAAAACATTGACTATCCAACACCATGGCGTGTCCTACTGATGTTAAAAGTGCTATATAAATGTAAGGTGTTGATGTGGTGAGCTGTAATTAATCAGCATACCCAGGGATAGGCTTTTGATTTGCAGATTGTTCATCTTCACTGAGCCTCTGACGTGTCTGTGTGTGACGTGAATGATAGTGCCATTAAAAAAAAGTGCTTCCATTTCAAACTGGCTGTACAAATTATACAACAGGGATTTTAAAGGCCTCCAAGTACTTTAAATCTATATTCTAGGAACTATAATACTGCTTCTGTGTTGGAGTTGTGATTAAGCTGGAGACTAATTTTAAAGTGTTCCAGTAACTAGTTATGAAATGCTAGTGATTGAATTATATAATTCACATGAGCATTGCATTTTGGCAGGGTGTGTACTGCCGGTTGTATATATTGGGAGTAAAAATCTGTTACCAGTGTTAAGATTTAGTAAAAAGTGGTGAGTCAAAGCTTTATTTATATTCCACACAATGGGAGGACTAAAATGCTGCCTGCTTCAGAGCACAATGTTATCTTAAATACTTCAGTGCAATACGTATTGGTCACAAATCACTTGTGTGGTTCAATATGTGTCACTTTTGATCTTAATCCTAAAATGTATTGTTTGGTCTGGCCATCTATAAAGGTATGCAAGCTGGATTGGGTTATAGATCAAATTTATGATGGGTAATTGGAGCACAGATAATGATTCCATCATGTTCTCCTGAACCACTTGAGAGCATTTTGAGCTCAGGTGAAGTGGGAGCAACGTGGTGGTGATTGAGTATTACAGGAAAGGATTGATGATCTAACTAATCAGGCTTTTTTCTTCCATTAGCTTTTAGGCGCCCATATACCTGGAGATTAATTAGTAACTGCTACTCAACATATTGACTTGGTGGTGGTCTTGTTTTCTGAGCGTTGAATTGCATAGTTACAGAATCTTAAACATCCGCTCTTGTCTCTGGTATCTTCGCTTTAAATTCTACATATTGTTCAATATATTATAACCCAGAATAGCTGTCTGTCTTAGTTTTTATGCATCAGTATTTGAGGCCGTCTAGAACTGAAACTGGAATAACAGGCTTCAATGACCTATTTAAGTTGCTTGGATACTAGGATGTTGCCTTTAGATGCCAAGAGGGAAGTGGAACCTAGTGGAATGCATTGACAATGAAGTTCTGCACAATAAGCAGTCAAGCTACAACAACTTATAAAACATCTGACTCCTACATGCCTTTTAAAAACATTTGGAGTTATTCAATGCTTTTATGCATTGAAGCAGTAAGCTTAATACATTTTTTATCTGTATTGCAAAGGGCCCTGACTGTGGAGACCTGCCCTGTCATCAGTAAAGGCATGGGAGCAATATTAGTTTTAATAAAGGGAAATGATCTTGCGTTGCAACTGACTCCACCTTAATGACTGCGTACAGTGTGCCTGAGGCGATCAATGTAAAAGTTTAGAAATTCAACCTAGGCCTTGCAAATGGCTGTCCTTTGTTCCAAATCGAAAATGCATGCATAATCCATGCTCATTTACATTCAGCAAACTGAAAATCTACATAGATTCTGTAAATGAGTCCTTTATAAAGATTGTCAAGTCAAACCCAGGCCTTATACAAAAGCAAAATTTGCTCCCCTCACTGTACCTAATATGTTGACACTTGCTGTCTGGTTGAATGTATAATTTGCAATTTGTCAGTCTCTAATGAAACCAGTTCATCTTTCTGGGTGGTTATATACTGGTGCTCAGGTTTAGACAGTAGGATGCAGGTTCTTTTCTCTATGTGGTTGTGTTGCTATTACTTGTGCTACTCTTAAATGCTTGCGTAAGGATGAAAATGGCTGCATTTTCCAGTGTTGATCCCTTTAAATATCTTCTCCGGGATGCAAGAGGATTGATTGAATTTGCCTCAGTTTCCAATAGAATGCTTTAACTTCATAAAATGTGAACTAACCCAACGTTCATTTCTTTCCAGCAGTTTTGAAAGATGACTTCTAGGAAGAAAGTGCTGTTGAAAGTCATTATTTTGGGAGATTCAGGGTAAGTATCCAAGTTCATTTTATTCTCATACAAATTTAACTGCTAGCTCCTGGACAGCATTGGTGCTCATTACACATTGCAGAGCTCCAGTGTTGTGCCATGACAACTTGCATTTATGTAGTGCCCCTCATGCAGGTCAGTGTCATGCAGAGCGCTTGATAGTAGCGGAGCACAATGCTGGGGAAGGGGGAGGTGATGGAAGGCATGGTTGAAAAGGAAGGTTTTCAGATGGGGATGGAAGGTGCAAGGTGGAGTGATAGAGGAAGAGTATTCCAGAGTTTTGGGGTGCAGTGACTGAACCAGTTGAGCAGAGACATTATTTGGGGAGATTCAGAGTAAGTATCCAAGTTCATTGTATTCTCATGCAAATTTAACTGCTAAATTTGGGGGTTGAGCAGAGCAAAGCTAGATTTTTCTTAATTTAATCTAGACTTCCAAAATTGTTAAATGTAAGTTAAGAAATGTTATTTTCCTTTTTTAAGTCCTGGCTAGAGGACTATTATGCTTTTACTGCACCAGGCAGGGATTGTAAAGGACACCATTTTGATGGTACAGTGGAATCCATTATAACACTGGCTCATTAATTTGTCACTTGACATTTCCTGCCTTAAAATTGCAAATCCTGACATCACACCACCCCGATCACTTACTGACATTAAAATCATGTTGCTCCTCAAACTGATCTTTCTGTGCTTCAGAATGGCTGTTTCATGTCATCCATTCACTGCTGACCTCACTTCTTGCATGTTTCACATGCACAGAGTGAAGGATAACACAAACTCGCTGTTGGATTATATCCGTTGTTCAAGTCCTGTGGCCAATGTGAGTGAGTGCACAACTGAGCCTGTGTTTGAAGCTAATAGATGGAACGATTCTAAGATCTGTTAGCTTCCAATGAATTTGGTCCTGACCAGTCTCAAGCCTGGAGTTGATGGGTATGCACACTATTCTGAACCTAGGAACAAAATGGACTGTATAATGCCTGTAGTCCTATCTACAATACACATTTATGTTTCTATGACACCTTTCACAACATGCCCAAGTTATCTGGATTGATGCTCGCCTTTTTACCTAAATGTTTCTTTTCTATCCACTCAGTTAAATGTAGACTTTATTTTGACCATTGTGGTGGATTCCTCTCATGGGGTATTGGTATTATAACAAACACTTATCAGTCAGCACCTTACTGTTCAATCAAATTTCACCTCAAATAGTAAGGCAAGTAATCTTTAACCCCATCCCCTGATTTTGCCCCTCAAATCCTCTTGTCCCTTGATTTTGGGGTGCAGTACGCTAACATTTACATTTTCATGCAAATTTATGTTATGTTCATGCATTCTCAAAACTGAAAATGAATCTTTTTACAGGAGATCTTCAGAGACTGAGTTTTTTTAAAAATAGGACAAGTCAAACTCAAACTGTTCTTCTAATCAGAGCTGTTGGTTGCAGAAATTCTGCCAAATGAGAGCTTGTTGTGAGCACAGTAAGCCTGCTGCCTGGCGTGGGTGTTCGAGCTACTAAAGCAGTGCTCTGCCCACTTGCTTGGCTGACTCACCAGCACACGTATTCAATTCTCACTACTGCATTTAGCCCAGCTGTCTGAAATGTCATTAGAATGGGGTAGATCTGATCAATTACCATCTTAAAGTGTTGCAGGGGCCATAGAATTGAGCTTCAATCCTTAGGCTTGTTTAGTGGCCCAGATTACTGCCTTCTTTGACTATTGGCTTTGTTCCTGAGCTGGGAGGAGATCAAATTAGGCATGGTTTCATGCTCCTGATTCACATTTATTAAGGTGTACTAATCTTTGCTGGGTCTTGTATGTGTGAGAGAGCGGGGCAGGATCTGGCTGGTTGCAATGCTTTCCTAAGGAATAGTCACAACTATGGTTTTGAGGCCGCTTTGGAATTCTGTTCACGTGTGATTATTGACTTGTCAAACCCTTGCTTTTCTAGGGTGGGGAAGACCTCGCTGATGAACCAGTATGTCAACAAAAAGTTCAGTAACCAGTATAAGGCGACGATAGGGGCAGACTTTCTAACAAAGGAGGTGATGGTTGATGATCGATTGGTGACTATGCAGGTATCTTAAATCTAGTCTTGATTGTAAACTGCTCTCTTCCTGTTTGTTTAAATCTACTCAAAGTTTTGGGGTAACAAATTCCAAACTGAACTGACCTTGCCTCTTTACACATTAAATATTTCTTTTTCCTTGCCTTGTTTAAGGGCAGGGGAGTTTACAGTTTAGTGGGAGACAGGACTTTACTAAGTGGGCATTCATGCATGTATCACTAGCTGTTTATGGAGCCATTGGCCCTGAGTCCAATTTACTGCACAGAATAACTGCACTGAGGGATCTGAACCCTAACCTGAACCAAATGAGGCTGATTCCAACACTGCAAAATCTTGAGATCAACTCTACACATGCTGGGTGTTTGAGCTGCTACATCTGGTTTGCTCTGTGCTCCACTAGGAAGGAGGCTTCACTTGCAATTTTAATTAGTGAACTTTTATCTGCCTCAGCCTTTTATTTGTGGCAGTTTTAGTCTTAAGGTGGTATGACGATTATCAAATGCATCTTACATAAAGTTCTTTTCAAATGCCCATTGATGCCACAAAGCAGCCTGGCTGAAAGTTTATTAGTCTGCCTCCATTTTCATTGCTTAAAATGATTTTCTGCAGTATAATTATGGCCAAGCAAAGAGAGGGAAGCCTCTGTTAGTGTCTTTGTGCAGTTGGCCTTTTGTTGCCTTACTGCCAATAAATTATCCCTGAGTCAGAGGCCCATATGATCCATCTGGTGAATCGGGTCACTGTTTGGCTGGTCAGAATTTTAGAATCACTGCAGCAGATTAATTGTTCCTCTCGCTGCACTTTGTGGGATGTTGCTGAATGTTATATGTTGAGCTATGCTTATGATTTTCCCATTGATGGAATTGGTAACTGAAAACATCACCAGAAGAGGAGGTTGGGGATTTTTGATGTTGGTTCAAATGTGGAACACCCTGTAATGGTGGCTGAAACTGAGCTGTAGCAACATAAGAGGGAATTAAAAGATGCTGCAGAAAAATGAAGATTGGATTAAAGCCAGTGACTAACACAAGTCTTAGTTTCATGTGAAAAGCTTTGTGTTGTGATAAGGTACTGTAAGTTGATTTGACTTGCTACAATTCCTGAACCTTGTATTCTCAGTCTGTCCTTGAACTAACTCCTTGGCAATGATCCTAGTCTCCTTGTTCCAGGGGTTAATTTCACTGAGTTTAATGTGCTACATAAAGATGAGTCCAATCGGGTGTTAATTGTTCATCTCCAAGTTTTTTTTGTGCTTAAAACATTTTTTTTTCTTGCTTCAGATTTGGGATACAGCAGGGCAAGAGAGGTTCCAGTCGCTGGGAGTGGCGTTCTACAGAGGAGCTGACTGCTGTGTGTTGGTCTTTGATGTGACCGCTCCCAACACGTTCAAAACTCTCGATAGCTGGAGGGACGAGTTTCTCATTCAAGCCAGTCCACGAGATCCTGAAAACTTCCCCTTTGTTGTCCTTGGAAACAAGATAGACTTAGAAAATAGACAAGTATATTATTTCTCTTACCTTCCTCCTCCCTCCCCCACCACCAACCACCACCATGGAGTGCCAACATGGACTTGCTACTCAGTAGCTGTAATGAATGCCATTAGATACTACTTATTTGGAAGCCATTTTACATTAGCTAGAATGTGCCTTACAGTGTAATGGTTCCTACATGTTGCTAATATCCTGGAGAGACTAACACTTTGGTCCTGCCATTATGCTAGTTTCTTTAAATAGCTGCACTGTAGTTGAGGAAAGTACTTTTTGCCTGAATGATTGGAATCCTTCAACTCTAGGGAATTTCTGTTCCTAGGAGTCATTCTGTTGTCTAGATGGGTTGCTTCCTTGTTAGTGCCTGATGAGTAGTGAGGCATATGTGCCTCTTATTTTGCAGGATTATCTTGTAGGTTTCCTGTCAGAAACTGATGAAAGCCAGTGTGCAAGCTGTGGTGAGGAATGTTTAGAGTATCTTAACTGGGGTTTCACTGCCTCTGGGTTGTTGGATGTGAAACTTAGGCTGATTGGAGCTGACGACCGCTGCTTAGTAACATTTCCCCTCTAGCTGGAGTTGAAATACAAGTGGAACATGTGAATTATACATTTGCATCACTGGCAACACCATTGCTCTGTCTGATTGTGGTTTGCTCTTTATAAATCACTCCAGAGGAGTTCTCGAGCACAATTCCGTAACTGAAGTGAATAACAGTCAGAGGTAATGATCAGCCTTGAGATAGATACCTTTTCTCCCTGATAACTAGGTGGGATGGCCTCACTATTTAGTAGCTGCTCCCAACTCTATTCTGGCAGTAATGTGATTGTGATTAGGAACTGGGCAGGAATACATCCTGATCCCTCTGGTTGTGGCTTCATTGCTCTTGGCTGCTCTGCTGCTAAAATTTCTCCTCTTCTGGCTTTCAACTCTTATATTTGATATGAATCTCTTTCTTTCTCAGGTCACCACAAAAAGGGCACAAGCATGGTGTCAGAGTAAAAATAACATCCCCTACTTTGAAACCAGCGCAAAGGAAGCAATAAATGTGGAACAGGCTTTTCAAACCATTGCAAGGAATGCACTTAAACAGGTACGTGGATCTGGTTCCGTCTTCATAGGGAGAAAGGAGGAAAGTCACAACTCTGACCAATTTCATTGCACACACGCTTTCCAGCCTTGGGAGGGAAAGATTGTAAAACAACAAAATTGCATTTTATATATGCGCTACCTTTCATGTTGGGAGGATGTCCCAAGGTCCTGGACAGTTGTAGGTTTGCATTTGGGCTGGATTTGGGAGGGGTGGTAGCCAGGGGTGGGGAAAGATGACTGAAGTTTTCAGTTACTGTACAGTGTCCAGGAGGAGTGAGGGTGATTGTACATAAAAACATAATTGCTAGACAAAGGTCCATCCAGTTCGCTTTCCACCAACCTGGCTGTTTTGTGCAAAACTATGTCCCTTGCTGTGTATATTGTAATATCACCCAAAGGCAGGTGGTCTATTGAGTTTTGCACCCCAGCTGCAAAGGGGTATTGCTGTAATGTGGAGGCAGAAATGTTGATCGGTCCCACTCTGTTCACTAGGAAACTGAAGTGGAACTCTACAACGAATTCCCAGAGCCAATCAAACTAGACAAGAACGACCGAGCGAAGACTTCAGCAGAGAGTTGCAGCTGCTGAACGGAGTCAGCATTGGCAGCGACTCCACGAACCAGGCCTTCAACACCAGTCTGTTCCCCCTTCTCAGCCACAAGCCAAGAACTTCATTGCGCACCTTACATCGCGCGCCCACAAACCCGCACACAGGAACCACGCTGCATCAGACTTGCAGAATTCTTATCAGTAGTTTTCATCAAAAAAGAAACTTAATGTACACTGAATTTATTATCAGTCAAACTTTTACAGAGCAGTAATTAATTAATTTTCCAACTTTTTAAAAAGTTTTTTTGTGCGCGTCTGAAGACTGGGGAAATTGGCTACGGTTTTCCTGTGATCCTCTTGCAACTTCCTGTGTTGAACCGATTTCTTCACCAGGTGTAAAGCCATCCAAACGCTGACGTTTCCCCCCCCTCCCCCACCACACACTTATCCAGTCACTTAGTCTAGCGTAATGCCTCCCAGCTCCAGAGGGGGAAGTGTTTTATCATGAATTGTACTTTGAACAGATTCGAGTGTAAATGTTAATCTTTAAAAAAAGGTTTCTGTACAAATGGGTAACAGCTGTTGGAATTGCATGACCAGTATACAAACAGAATTCCGATTTATTGGCAGTTTAAACTGATTTGGGGGATTAAAAAGTAACTTTAGCCCAGTATCCTGTAACCAAGGCTCCTCCAGCCTGCTTAATCTGTGCATCTGACAGGGGGTGGGTGTCCTTCAATTTAAGTGTTCTTAAATTATCAAATGATTTACTTATCTAGCTTTGATGTGCTGTATTAGCAGAAATCAGTATTTTATAAACTTGGGTAGAAGTTTTTTTTGTCCCATGAATTAGATCCGTTGCAGTAACCAGTTTTTTCCAAACAAACTGTCAATTCATGTCCGGCACTAGTGACAAAATTGCCAAAGTTACTGGTCTTGCTTGTAGCTTGCATAATTACAGCACTTCAGTGTATTTTTTGAAAGGTTTACATTCTAGTAAGTAGGACGCGTTCTTATGTAATCATGCGGTAAATTACAATAAATAGTTCAGAACAAAAAGGTGGTGTGGTGTATTATTGAATAAGGTATGTGTTTGTGCAGTGCTAGTGGTGGGGGTAGCCAAACTGGAAATAAACACCTGAGCAGTCTCCTGATATTCTGCTGCCTCTGTTACAGTCACTGTAGGAGCAGAGATTGTGGAAATATTTTAATGGTCTTGATGTTTGAACAAGTCTTGAAATCGCTGCTACTTGTGAGAAGTTATAATGTCATGAACAATTGCCTCCAGATTTGGTACCTTTGGAGCTGCTGTATTAAAATGGCAGTAACTTATTTTTTTAAACTTCCTATTTTAGTTACATGGTTGAAATAATTTGACCCAATGCTTTTTTTCCCTCTCTTTCCCCTGGACCAATTTTCTCACATGCCAGCTGAGCTCCCTACCCAAATAGCGCTTCTTGCAAGTTGGCACTAAATGTAAATGTGCTGGAGTTCTTGTTCTCACTTAAACATTTTTCTTTTCTGCCTCCTCACCCTAATTGGTCAATCATTAGGAAGCAGGAAACCCTAATCCAGTTGCACTCTGCCTGGTTCTGCCAGAAATGTATCTTTCTGGCCAAAATTCCACTTAGTGGTTCCTGTCGCCCATGAAAGCATTGGGGGGGCACACACGGAAGAGGTCTCATCTGGTCATCTTGAATGTTCACCTATAAACTTACTAATAATAATGCCTGCATATTGTCTGAAAGCACTTCACAGGAATGTGAAATGGAGTGATTGTGTATTTGTAGGTAAATGCGGCAGCACAGTTGCGCACAGCAATGTTCCATAAACAACACAACAAGATTATATTTGTATGACCAGCCATGAAACGAATGACCAATCTTATTTGGGTGGTAATATTTGCCAGAACACAGAGAGAAACTCCTCATTTCAAATAGTGCCATGGCATCTTTAACATCCACCTGACCAGACAGACAGGACTTTGGTTTAACGTCTCATCCCAAGGATGGCACCTCTGACAATATAACCCCCTCCCAATGCTACACTGGAGTCTAGCAGTTTAAGCGCTCTGTGTAGGGCGCTATATAAATGGATGTTGTTATTGTGAGTGTCAGCTTAGACTATGAGTTTAAGTCCTGCTATGGGATTTGAACCCACAACCTTCTAACTCAGGTGAGTATGCACCATCAAACCAGCACTGAGCTTTTACTAATGTTAGAGCTTGCAGAAAATAGTTGTTCATTTGGGGGGTGGGTTTGAGGGAGTGCAAAGAATGAAAGCATTGGTGAATTGATGGTTAAAGCTCCATGACTGCAATGGTTGAGTGCCTGAATTCTTCCTGGTACTGTTGGCATGTAGTGTATGTACACTGGCATCTCTGCAGCATAATCATGTCAATGTGCATTGTGCATCTAATTGCATTAGTCATGGTCAAACATGCTGGCAGGCAGTGCTCTGCTGCCCCTTAAAGCAAGAGACTCTTCTGTATTTGGAAAACATGTTCATTGGGAGTATAAAGTGAGCCCTGAAGACATTTGCACATAAATATCTTAATTCTTGTAGCTTCTGTTCAAGAGCTACACATTTGCCCTGAGCATCTCTGATATTGATATCGGCCTGAAGAGATGGGTGGCAACTTGTTCCAATGAAAGTTCACTACTGAAATCTTCCAATGATTCTTGCTTTAAAATGGTGCTGTGAAGTTATGTAATTTTACAGGCAGTTTGCATTTTATTTTGACAGATTACTTGCTTACTTTCCAGCGGCAGACTGTTCACAGTGGCTAAGCTAAGCGCTGATGTGAATCTTTGTGGCCAAATCATGTGATGCTATGGGTCGTTTGTGTCGGTTGGTGCAAGACTGGAAATATTGGCCTGCTGTTGAAGGGAGGGACGGATAGGTAGGGTCGCAGTCAGAAAGGATAGTTTGTGATCCATGTTAATGGTGAATAGTTTTATTCAATGCATTGCATGTCTTTTATTTACCGAAATAGCTACTTACCGTGAGCGAAATTCTGATTAACTTGTGTGCTTATTCTGTGTGACTGATGGAAAGATATCAGTGTCTTAGTGCTCTGAGATGTTATCTTATGTGAAGGATGTTACATATAAATGCAACTTGAAGAACAGAACNTTTTTTTTATCCAATTCAGGCACACAAGGAAGATGTCCTTGCGCTTTGGGACATCCTCCCGACGTGAAAGGCGCTATACAAATGTAATTTTGTTGTTGTAGTTCTAGTGTTGAAGAACTTGTATTGCTTTCATTCTAGCCTCATACCAACTCAAGAGACAGACCCCCTCCCACCCTCCATTGCAACTTTCAATTTTCCGCAATAACCTTGTGGCTTTGGTTAGTTAATAATAATAATAATAATAATAATAATCCTTGCATTTGATATAGCGCTTTTCACGTCGGGAGGACGTCCCAAAGCGCTTCACAGAACACACTGTAAAGTGAATTGACTGTATATTTGTGGGTGAACGCGGCAGCCAATTGCGCACAGCAATGTCCCACAAACAGTCGTAGATTGAAAATGACCAATTTAATTATTGTTTTTGGTTTTGGAGGGATTATTATTAGGCTCTGTGTGGAGTAAGGAAACTTGCCCGAGGTTTCGCCCTCTGCCTGGAATTGAACTCAGGTCTCTCACTTGCAAAGCGAGTGCTCTAACCACTGAGCTACAGGACTCCACGCTAGTTATTTGGGATTGAACTCATTTTCATTTCCAGACTTGACATCTTGTAAGCAAAGGAGATTTTCATCCCATAAATTCAACTTTGATTTGAACCTGGACACTTTCCGCAATGAGATTCATTGCCTGTTGTCAGAGGCACAAGGAATCAGTGAATGAATGACTCACTGGGAGGAGCTGCTGCTGGGAGAATGGTAACTGCCACACATTGGAGTGGGAGATGAGAGTAACATCTGATTGAGGCTACAGTACAAGACGACACTTCCTGACTTTATCTGAATAAGCTGAAGCAGCCTTTGTACTGCAGGTACTCCTCCTCCCAGTGCAGAAATGCTACCCTGAAGCCCAAGCCTGATTATTCCAAACATTTTAGTTAATGGATGAAGATCAACTGAACCAATTTGAGAGCCTGCAAGAGTGGCGGAGGAGAGGACACATCAGCTGAGCCCGAGCCAGTCTTCAGTCATTTCACATGTTTTCCAGAAGAAATAGACTGTAATTGGAATAATAATCTTTGCATTTGGTATAGCGCCTTATCACATTGGAAGATTGTTTCAAACATATTTGCTATGAAGGGAGTGACTGTAGGCAAATGCAGTAGCACAATTGCACACAGTAATATCCCACAAACAGGCATGGAGTGAATGAACAATTGTTTTAATTTGGGGAATTGTTGGCTAGGACATTGGGAGAAACTCCCTTCTCTTTTCGAACGGTGCCTGGGGAACTTTAAGGTCCAAATGAACAGGCAGACGTACCCTTGGTTTATCGTCTCATCCTAAGATTGGAAGCAGGAACTTGTCATTTTTATCTGCCCTAACCTACGACACTGAGACTTAATTTTGATGATTCTAATGCTGTCCTTCTCAAATGTGTCTGCCTCACTGAGATAGCTTCATGTATTCTCAACCACTTCATTATCCTGAGCACTTCAGTGGTTCCAACACTGAATGAAGAGGACCAAACAGTTGTTCCTCACTTAGCCTTTTTTGGGGGGGGGAGGGCAGGGGTGGGATTTCCCAGGAAACTGAGCAAACACACCTTAGCAAGGCCAGACAGATGTGGTCATCAAGGTTCTTGTTAAGGATTGACCAGCCTGTCTCAAACTGTCAATCTAACTGTTCGGCAGGCAGTAGAGGGCGTTGCAGTTGACGATGATGTATCTCCCTAAGTAGGAGAGGGTGAAACAATCCAGATTACTTTCCTTCACCTCCACCATATTTCCGGCCCCCCAGCCCCCCACCCTTCTCTCACTCCAAACGCTGCTGAAAGTCCTTATCTGCACTTTTGCTTCCTCCGGCGCTTTGGGACGTCCTCCCGACGTGAAAGGCGCTCTATAAATGTAATTTTGTTGTTGTCCTGTCCTGACTTCTTAAATTCACTTCTCACTGCACCATCCATCGACTCAACATATCCACCAACGGGGATCGGGCTTTCAGCCTACCTGTCGCCCACACTCTACAACTCCATCCAAGAGTCCTTGCGACCCGTCCTCTCCCTCGTTTCTTTCAAGGAACTGTCTCGAAGACCTTCCTCTTTGACAGCACCTCTCCCAACGCTAAGCTGCAGTGAGCGTCAGTCAAGCCTTCACCACAAATTCAAAGTCCCAACTTGGGGCTTGAACCCACAACCTTCCGACGGAGAGGCGAAGGTGCTCCCAATCTGAGCCAAACCGACACCACAATGAGCGAACTGTGTCAAATAAACCTCTGCTGCGGAATGAACGATACATCGATTTGGACTTTAATCACATTTGAATAAGGGAAAACAAATTAAAAAGGGGAAAGGCTCACGTCCATTTTGTGGCATGCCACGAAGAGTCCCTCCCCGCCCCTCCCTCCCATCTTAATTTCTTAATTAATTTTATTTTTATATATATATGAAGTATATATATATATAATAAATATATTCCGGCGATTCTCACCATTGCAATGATGCTCTGCGATGGGAGAAAAATGTCTTTCCGCTTGTTGAACATCTGCTTGATCAGATTTATTTATACCTAATTTTTTTCGACCCCCCCCCCCCCTGAAAAAAAAAGATAAGAGAGATGAGAGAGAGAAAAAAAATACTACATGAGAGTGTAATGAGATGGGTGAGGGCTCTGATGGTCTGAGTAGCCACAGATCGATAGATAACGTCGACAAAAAAGATTTGGTC